ACTCCTACTCTACTATTATCTTATTCCACTCCTACTCTACTATTATCTTATCCTACTCTTACCCTACTACTATCTAATTCCTATTATACTCTACTCTTATCTTTACTCTACTCTTATCCTCCTCTCTTACTCCTCTTTACCTACTCTTCTCATAATCCCATACTTCTTCTCTCTTCTATATTCCTACCCTTATTTCTATACTTATTCTCTTACTCCTCTCATACTCTTCTATTCCCCTCATACTTTCTGTGGCTACTCTACATATCTACACTCTAGTCACTATCTATACTTACTCTCTGTACCTACTTCTTTTATTCTACTCCTTCTCTCTCATTCTTCTACTCCTCTCCTACTCTTCTACTCTACTCCTTCTCTCTCACTCTTCTACTCCTCTCCTATTCTTCTACTCCCCTCATATCCATCTCCAGCTCTTGTTCTACTCTTACTCTTCATTCAACTCTACTTCTCTCATGCTCTCCTCTTACTCTTATTCCGCTCCCTCCTATTATTATCCTTCTCCTCTTACTTTCTTCATCTCTTCTACTCTTCTCCTATTCCTATCTTCATCTCTTATCCTAATTCTACCCCTATACTCTTACTATACTCTTCTCCTACTCTTACTCTTACTCCTCTCTAAATTCTTATCTAACTCTTATTCTACTCCTAATCCTATTCCACTCTTTACCCTATTATACTCTCGTTATACTCTTCTCTTATCTTACTCTTTTACACCTCTACCCCCACTTCTATCCCCACTTATACCCCCACTTATACCCCCACTTATACCCCACTCTTACTTCATACTCCTATTTCACTCCTCATATTATTCTACTCCTCTTCTACTCTTTATATTACCCTACTCCTCTCTTAATAGTATCACACTCTTGCTCTCTAGTTACTGCCTATACTTATTCTATGTACCCACTTCTCTTATTTTATTCCTACTCTACGAATCCCCTTCTCTACCCGTATTCTACTCTTCTCTTATTCTACTACTACTCTCATTTTACTCTTATTCTACTCCTACTATACTCTACTCTTACTCCTCTTCTACTCTCATTCTACTCGTATGTCTCTTCTACTCTCATTTTACTCTCACTCCTCCTCAACTCCTCCTCTATATACCCACTCTCTAGCCACTTTCAATACTTAATCTCTATACTTATTCTACCTACTCTCTATACTTACTCTCTATACCTACTCTCTATACTATATACTCGTCCTCTATCTGCTCTCTATACCTACTTTATACTTACTTTATACTTACCTTATACTTACCTTATACTTACCTTATACTTACCTTATACTTACCTTATACTTACCTTATACTTACCTTATACTTACCTTATACTTACTCCATACCTACTCTTTAGATAAGTTATGCTTGCTTTACACTTACTCTCTGTATTTACTCACTACCTGCACCTACTCTGTGTAATTTCTATCTCTATCTACTCTCTATACCTACTCTCTATAGTTACTCTCTGGTTACTCTCTGTACCGACTCAATATACCTACTCTCTATACCTATTCGATATACCGACTCAATATACCTACTCTTTGTACCTACTCCTTATAGTTACTCTCAATAGCTACTCTCTATCATTACTCTCCGATTACTCTATATACTTACTCTCCGTACCTACTCTCCGGTCACTCTATATACTTACTGTATGTACCTACTCTTTATCTAATGCATGGAAATAATACACATTGAAATCTCCCTGTGTTTGTCGTTCGAATAATATATTGTACTATATGTCTTACCTAATTTCTGTTTGGTATATACTTTTCCATATTTTAATATATATCAATTTATATATATCCTTAAATATACGTCTGTCAATATTCATATATATATATATTTGTCTACATATATTTGTATATATATACCTGTATATATTTGTACATCTATATACCTGTATACTATGCAGCTTACTATGTAAATATTACACCTAGTGTATCTCTACCAGTATTGCTTTGTCCACCTTTATACTTGTCTATTATAATATACCCCTTATATCCATCCTCTTCGGTTTATTTGGCCATGTTATCTTGTGTATTCCTTCAGTTTGATGCACCTCTCTTCCTTGGGTCCAACAGCTGAGGTAGGTGCCTGCATATAACCTCACTCTATAGTCCCCTATATAATTTACTATGCAGCCCACAATCTGCCAGCTTTATCCAGCCTATCTTCCCTAATATTACTTTATCTACTCCTATAATTACTTTGCATGATACCACTAATTCTAATCTATCATCTCTATCTTATTCAATCCTGCTCGCTTAAATATCCATTCAGTTTGATGGACCCTCTACCCTTGGTTAAACTGCTGAATTAAGTGCCTATATATAGTTTCTACTGCTCACTATGCAGCTTACTATATAACGTACTATCTAATTGTACGACCTGCATCTGCTAACTGCATACGCTTGCTAGGAACCTCCTACTCTTTCTATTGCTCCACACTCCCTTTTCGTCTTATACTTCATCACTCTTACCCTTCTCTAATTATATTCTCGCTCTGATTCTATTATTGCTCTAATTATATTCTCGCTCTGATTCTATTATTGCTCTAATTATATTATCGCTCTAATTCTATCATTGCTCTAATTTTATTACTGCTCTAACTCTTAACCCACCCTTATTTCCTATTATTTTATTCTAACTCTTAACCCACTCTTAGTTCCTTCTATCCTAATCTCTTACTTCTATCTCTTACCTCCATCTCTTACCCTGGCCATGCTGTGATAATTGTGTAGCTGTCACGTGGTAGTATTTATTTATGTGCTGACTTGGTCCCTGTGGTATATCTAGTTAAAGAGCACCTTTAATACACTACATTCATTTAGCACGTCAATAATGAAACTCCTAGGACATGGTATATTCTCCAGCCTTATATTTTCCGCATATAGTAATCTCTCTCGGTGATATCTGTAATACCCTCAGTTATCTACTTTACTCTTTAATATTCAGTATTGTCCGAACTCATGGCCACAGTATATCTGCTCTTTCCGGATGTAATGCCGCCGTCGGGCGTATTAGTAGGTTATTATCATAAATTTGTACATAATTATTGATAATAGCTTTATAAAAAGTACACCATATTTAAATATAAGCAGTGTTCATAGTCGTGGCAGGGGGGTTTGGAACACCAAGTGCTGGGTGGGCGGAAGAGCTTGGACACAGAGTAACGGCGGCAATCGTAGACATAGAGTAGGTAGGAACTAACGAGGTCTGAGTAACTGTTTGAGTTTTGGTGTAGGTATGCGTAGAGTAGGAGGTACTATAGAATGGAATGAAAAAAATGGTACGTGTCGCCACCACCCACTTAGCGACCAGAGTTTGGAAGTAGGTATTTTCCTGAAATAACACGGTTTTATATGTGAAAGCTGAAATCTGGACCTTATCAACCGCGGTACATCCATTGGTCTGAACGGAAGTTCTGGTCTGTGTTACGACGCTTGGAGAAGGCGGTATACCTTTACAACTGTTCCAGACCACACACTTGGTGAACGCTGGATAAGTCAAAGCGATACATTCCGCATTCATGGAACCGAGGATACATTTCACGCTGCTAACTGGGTTCAACCAGAAAAGGGAAGACCCCAAAATAATAGTCTTGGAAGTATCCCCACCTTTGAAGCTCAGAGTAAAGCCGATTAAGGAATCGAAACAGTTATACCCGCTCAGAAGATCCACACCAAGTACCACTGGATAGGTGACGGTGTCGTTATAGGAAAGGATAAAGGCACCCTGTTCGGTATTGACGGTAACGCTGATAGCGGAAAACGTACTAACGAGGGAGGTTAAACAAGAGACATCAAAATCGGTAGCCCCTAACGGACTATCAAAGCTGAAGTACCATTGGACAATGTACTTGTAGTTTCTAACCCCAGTTCCTAAAAGGGTGATGCCGTTGGTTGAATCGGCATAGAATTCCGCCGTGGCATGCCAGGCACTCGCACCCTGACCACCAGAAGTAATATAGGAACTACAGAGGTTGGATGGGACGGAGTTGGTGAGACTGGTAGAAACAGTGGTGGTACGTACAGCAGCCGTGGCTACCTGAAGTAAAAATGGAATTAATAACAATGGAGAGAACTTCATAATGGTTTTGATAATATTTGAAGCAAGTATTTAAACTAACTGGGGTCATTAATCGTCTTATATAGTGCCCAATTTAAATCCATGGGAGAGCTGTTATAAGGTCATCTTTTCTACTAACCCAAGGCTCAACCAATGAGCGCGCTGTCTAACGCCAAGAAATTAATACAAATTCACTAAGCGGAAGTCTCCGTCTAGAGCTTTTAATATACGATTAGTTATAAACCATGGACTTGGTTAATCCTTGTCAGGGAGGAAAATCACCTGTTGGGCAAAGTCTAGAAGTATAGTTTTAGGTTTTGAATGGTTTTAGTTTCACAAGATACATTTTCAATCTAAGTTTGAACTATGTTAGTTTTTCACAAAGCCTGGATGAACTGAAGAGGTTTGTGCTTCATCTTGTGGTAATCTATTTTTCATTTGAAATTGCCACATTCATATTAATGTGTACCCATAAATGATGGCATGATGTTTTATACAATTGGATACGTTCTCTCTAAACTATGAACTCTGTAGATTAAGGAAAAGGAGTATATCCGTACTGCATATCCGTATAGACTAAATTAATATTGCCCTCCGTGCATCTCTCCCTGCATCCCATATCGATGTGGCAGCGGTTAGTATTCAAAGCCCTCTTCATATCTTGTCTCTTATTAACTTATAGATATCTCTGTTGGAAAATCATGACTGAATCTCGGAAACAAAGATACACCGTATAGTCCTATCTCGAGTGAAGTATTGTATCCCTTGCCCTGTACTCAACTCCTTTAATATAATCTCAGAATTACCTTAAGTTTTGATAACTATTATTTCACAAGGTGTGCAAATCTCATATGAACATCAACTAGTCGTTTGACGTATTACTAAACATTTATTCTCGTATTAATCCCTGTTCACACCTTCATACGCATAAATTGGAACTTTAATTTCCCGGAGACAACCGGAAGCTTGTTCCGTGACCGCACTAACGTAAAGTCTGAAAATAAGCGCCACTGCTGATGCTTTTGGCCTTTTTTCCATTTCTTGCGCCTCCTTTATACTTGCTCTTAGAACTCGTACAGCAGCACATTCATATTCACTTTGCTAGACTTAGCAAACTAGTTACTTAGTTCTGCATGCTAACGGAACATAAATATACACGGCCCATGCTGAGCATTGCTCTTAAAATCTCAGGGTTTAAAGTTTAAATTTATTTATAATTGCATATCTGTCAATGTCAACGTGGTTTCAATCACTAAGTAAATGCATGAATATAGTACACAAATACGCAGGAGTTTGAGTTCTTGCTTCGTATTAAACTTATAGGGTGATATCCCTGCATACTGGTTATATTTTTGGTGAGACTTCCGTATTCTAACCCTTCACATTGCTTTTTTTTCTCTTGTCACCGTGGGAATAGTATAATTTATCAAGCAATGTTTTTGGAGAATTTGGTAAACAATGCTTTGCAGCAGTAATTAGTCTTGTATATGCTATAAAGAACCATCATAGAAATTGAGACCAGTGTAACGCAAAAATATCCAGATTTACAAAGTAGCAACAATGTAGATTAGAATGTACAGGTCATAAAAACCCTGCATCGCTCAATTTATGATCCTTGGAAGCAACCGAGAGTAATAAACCGAGCACAGATTGCATTGCCATGACGTAGCCTATACGTATAAGCCCATCTGGTATATTTGTTATATCCAAAATTTTATAATCCGGTCCGTAAAATTATCTATTAATACCGCATGGAACACTCTATTTAGCTCGCTCAATCGGTAAGGCTACCCGTACTATCCATATCTCTTAGCTGGCTAGTTGTTGCGCGCATAACCTGGCTCGCATACTTGTGGGGATATTGGATATGCATGGCAGTGCATATATCCCTGCATTGTACTGCTGATCTTCAGCACTTACCCAATCTTTCTGATGACCCCTGTGCCTCGAGAGGCCCAAGCCTCTAGAGGAGCCAGTAATGAGGGCATTCTTGCCAGTAAAGTTGATTGGTGCAGACATGATGTAGGAATAGGGTTTGTGACTGAATGATTATATATAGATGAGTCATACTCAGGGAGGGTATTATAGCTTTATATAACAATGAAAAACCTCCACATCTTTGTCCTAATTTTAGTACGCAGGCATTTTTGCTTAGAAATAAGGATGATAAACATACAAATATTTGCAAATAATAGATGACAAATTCAAACTACAACCACTTTTGTGAAATTTCCAACTCGTACCACGTAGTATGTGTGCGCTATGGATACTGCTGCATATAGTGTACACTGCAGACGTTCTTCGGCTCTGTCGGATCCTCCTAATCCGAACTTTCGGCTCTGCAGAACTCTCCTCTTCCGAATTTTCGGCTCGGCTGAATTTTTCTTACCCGAATTTTCGTCTCAACCGAATTCTCCTCATCCGGAGCGACATGGCTATCATTTTTAGTTACCTAGGAGTACCTACTGGACGAACCATATTCCATTTTCGGCTCAAATGTTTTGAAAAATCGCCGAGCTAGAGATTTACCTTTAAATTCTTTGATAACTTTTCTAGTGGCAGACTCTTAAGGTAAACTTTATTTTTCCGCCATCACAGGAAGTATGACAGTGTTCATCGGTCAAGCTCGTATGGTATATTAGCCTCCTACGTCTTTCAATACTAGGCATACCGATATATTAAAAACCAAAGTCCGTTTGCTTCCATGTGTGAATAATTCGTACTCCAAGCTGTATAAGTTCATACGCGTTCTGTCTTTTCGATAGGTTTAATTGCCGGTGTATTTTTTTAATACCCTTCAATATATTATAAAAAAACGATTATATTGTCCAGGTTGCAAATGTTCTCAAGATTATTTCATTTATCATACCCACCGCTTCAAGTTTCTTGTTGACGTCAAAGCTTCTAAATAAAGCCTCCCTAGGCCGATGTGTTTTAAAATAGTCAGGTGTGATAGATACCATACGGAACTGCCATATTACTCTTGAACACGGAATACTGAACCAACACTTTCAGAGTGATCACTCCGACATCCAAATCGATCATTTCGGGCAAGTAGAAGTTCATTCGCAATTCATATCCCAAACTCCCTCTCGGATATCGAAATAGTGTACCCTGTACCATTTAACTAGATGGATGTCGGCGATCGTTATCTCCTAACATCCGATGAGCGGAAATCCTGGAATCGTATCTGCCTCGGCATATAGGGTCACTGACTACCCTTTTCTTGTGCATATCTAACAGATGAAAGGTATTTTTTAGATAGCTAGCGGTATCCACCAATATTGCTTCGTTCATCCATGTCACTACTTCATCTGATTATCTCTACTCTAATACCTCATATTTATTTTATCTGACCTTGTTTTCTCAAATATTCATTCACTTTGATAAACTTCTTCGCCCTGAGTAGAACTACAGAGGTGACTGCATATAAGCTATCTTTGTAGTTTACTATTTAACAATCATACCAGGTCTATCCCCACAAATATCGCCTCGTCCTTACAGATTACTAAATACTATTTCATTACTCTAATAATTTATCCCCAGCTTATCCAGCTTGTTGGGCCCCGTGCCCCGATAGAACCGCAGAGGCAAGTACCTGTATATAGCTCCTTCGCTTGTGCAGCTACGACAGTATAACTGCGCAAGCTGTATTTGGTAACCGAATATGCTAGTCCGGAAATTCCTACTTCTCCCATCTTTCCTTATGCATAAAATCTTTCATAGTTCTCCAGTTTAGGAAAAACGGGCTCTTTTACCCGATTGGTATTCCATAGTCACTAAACGTCTCTTTGTATTACATGTTTATTGTACTGGACTATCATGCTGTGTCTAGTTGGTATTCTATTAATATAACAGAATAATATATAGGTCCAGTAAATCGATGAATAACTTAATGATAAGGAGAGGCTACTAGTGGGATTGGCCTGCATCGTCAGAATTGGGAGTTACACGCAATGAGTGTCGAATCGGTATACAAATATCATTCACTTTCTAATTTATTCCTCTCCTGTATATATCTATAACTGGTCTAATATAAATATAGCTAGTTAGGCTAAAAAAGTTCGACTTTATTGAAGTAAAATCTACAATCAATTATACAAGCAATCCAGATGTACGATAAAACAGTTGAGAGCTGAAAAGGCGCAGCCATAAAAGGTTACATCACCAACCAGTGGCTTTTTCAGGTCGGTAACCGATTAGCCGTTTAGTGTCTACCGTTATTTTGGCAATTGTGGCAAGGTTTTGGTGGACAAGGCTTTCCGTGGATAATCTTGTGGAGAGTACTGAGCAAAAGGAGGCCCGGTTTAGCAACGGCCTCTGGTAAAGCTTCTGGTATAGCAACGGCGGCTGGGGCGGCAAGCGGAGCAGCAATAACAGAGGAGGCCAAGGTGGCGGTGAGAATAGCGAGAGCAGATAACTTCATTGTCGAATATTGTTTTTGAATACAAAGATAAAATAAGAAATATAATGCTGCGGGAATTCCATCTTTTTATACACTTTTTCGTAGAGTGTCTCAATTCATTATGGTCAATTTCTTGGCTTATCCTATATTAGCATTTGTTTAGTCGTTGATTAACTCCTTATTTCTCTGGGATAGTCGCAACTAAACCTCTTGGCTTGTAATACAAATGTATATACCCGTTCTTTTTGAATCATGGCCAAGACCTCTATACATATACTTCCAAATTCTGCTCTGCCAGTACCCCTTTCGGTACTAGCAATGTCTCTTATAAATCATGAGTATTACTTTATTTAGGAAGATTTAAGTTCGCTGTATGAGGCATTTGTCACCATATGCAAGTAACATGTATGACTTACCGCTACGATGTCTTGCCTTGGAATGTGGGTTTTAGGAATTCTTGGCATAGTTGTGGTATATTCTGTGGCCAATTAAATAGCTGAGATCATGGATTAAAATTAATAAAATATTTAGTCTGTGACAAACATGCAATAGCCATGTACAAGGCTGCTCAGTTTAGTTCTCACAGGGGTGGTCTAGGCTCGGTTGTTATAGTTGCATGCATGGCCTCGAAAGTGATATCCGAAAAAAAAAGTCTAGGCGAAAAGTGGAGAACACCTCTATTAGTCAATTTGCAATGGTAAGATAAACGGAATCGGAGATGGTACCCACCTCGTTTGCATGTTTTGGATTTTTAAGCACATAAGCTGCATCTTGGAACGAGAACTATGGCGTACCTCTACTCCAGTTTGGTCGATTTAATTGAATATGAAACTACTAAATGATACATGTAACTTTGAATGTTAAGATGCATTGTTATACATCTCAATCTATAAGTGAATCTGGATTTTTGCGATGTCACAAAGCTAGTACAGTTAATCGGAGATGAAACGGTTTTCCGAGAGGTACCTGACATACCGAAGTCCCTGTACAGGCCGTCTAAAATGGCCTTAGAATATTGCATATATAACGGTAAGGCCTTAGTTTTATTATCACATTCCTGAAGTTTTCTGTAAGGAAAGAAAATGGCCCCATGTGGTATGAAAATCCCTGCATATGGCTTGCGTCAGGCGGGCCCTTAATGCGCCGTATATTGTTTAAGTTTAACGCTCTATTGTTAAGAACCCTCAGGATAACCCCAGAAGGATATAGTCTCAAAACATTGCATAATTGTCGTAATTTCATGTCCGTAGGAGAATCAGAGCTGCTAACTCTGGTGATTAGCTCCTGACTATAATTGCCGCGTCTATTTTCCTCACAGGTCGTGTCGGTTAGTCGAGGGACGTAACTAGGTAGATAGTTTTAAGGCCAGTACCAGATCAATTATCTCTATTCTATAGTTCCTAACTGCTGCTATATGATACGATTTGTGGTGGTCACCGATAGTTTTGCGAAGACTCGTTCTTCCTTGTGTCATTTAACCAGGTATATTATCATACCTCCTATCGAACTATAGTCCATATAACTATCTATAATTGGACATTTTGGTGCCATATATTCATATATTATATTTATATATATATATATTTGTTTGTTTGTGAACATTCAGGCATAGTTCGAATATTTATTCACCTTAGTAGACCTGCTTTGAGTTAAACTGTCAAGATAAGTGCCTGCATATAAACCATATATGCAACTCACTTCGAGGCCACCACAACAAGCGTAACTCCACTAATATTACTTCATTTACGTTAACTACCACATATCTGTGTGACTTACTATGACACGCACTAGTATTTCATGGAGATTCTTCTGCTAAGTGCATATATTGGCTAGGACAGCGATCTACTACGGTCTTGGGAATGCAGGATTATCTGGTATATTTGGAGACATTCAAGGGATGCGAAACGCATGGAGTGGCTACATCCCTCACACAGACTAAGCCCCTTACACCAACTAGAAAGATCTCTCGCACAAAATTGGCCTCTCAAGACATCTGATGCATGATCTCAGCGTACCCAGAGTGATACTACTTGGTAATATCACACAATACATTCTTCCTGTACCCTGATCCTATATACTTCAGGGTATCTCCACCGCACAGAAACAAGCCAACCCCTAATCTCTTTCACGATCACCTTCTTCAATCCACTACCATGGATCTACAAAGAGTCTTCCCTTTTTAGTAATTCCTTTTCTTTGGAAATTTCCGAAAAGATTATTTCCCACCTATCACTTTCCACATTCACTGAATTGATGAAATAGGACAATGTCAGCTTTGCTTTGATAGCTCAGAGACGCTACTACTCGAATGTTAAATTAGATATTGACAACCCGCCAAATGAAGATGACTACTCCCATATAGATTATGAGGATCTCAGCATGAAGATTTCAGAATTTGAAGCATTAGTAAGCAGCGATACGTTCGAACACCTTACCATCATGGTAAAGATCGATATTGCTGATTTTACATTTCTCCACAAAGTGTTCACTATGGCGTCTTCGATTGTTACCAATGTTATTCTAAAGCTTGAATCGGGTCCGAATGAGTATATAACATTCATCTGGGATTGGTTGCCATTGCTGCCTCTGGTGCAGACGTGCATCCGAGAAATATTCGTTTATTAACCTATTATCGATCTGGAAATGCCACCTTTATCCTCCAACTTGCGCATGCTTGCCTTCCTATATAACTATGACCATTGAGACGAGAGTGATAATGCCATTGCTCTTAGTATTGCTTTTTCACCTAATCTTCAAGAATTTATTTCGAAAATTTCCTGGGGATCGATGTTAGTATATGTCAACCTCTCTTCAGCCTTGCAAAAATTGGAGCCAGAGTATGACATGGGCTTTTATGCTTAGGTCTTCAACAAGTCAAAATTTCCCAATTTGAAATCTTTGAAACTAAAATTTACGCGCCACATGCCAGAGACATACGAGCAATTTGAATTCCCTTCGCTGTTGGAAAGTTTAAAACTTGTATTGCTAAACATTACCAACCTCGAACGACAGAAATTACCGCTGGGGTTACAGAAGTTATCCATCACTTTGTGTTCGTTGAAAAAGTTTCGTGTGGACACTTCTGATTGCTTTAGAGAATTGGTATTGGGGGGTACGTGTCTTAAGTCATCAGGGATTCGCATACTCAAGTTTCCACCTAGCTTGTTTTCCTTACTGGTCAAAAATTCTCGATTAACATTTTTATACTCCGTCAACTCATTACCGGGATCTTTAGAAATCCTCAATCTCCGTGTTAATTATCTTGGTCGTTTAAATGAAACATATGAAGATGCAGACACTGTCATGCCATGCTAAATTCAGTTCCCCAAGAGCCTCCAGATGCTTAAACTCGAGGAGGACAGTTCGTTGTTCACCCAGTACTCGCCAAGAATCCTTGTTTTCACTCCAAATTTGATGAATTTGAATCTCTATGGAACGGATATAGACTCAGTTGAAGATTTTTATCTTCCATCAGGATTGACCTCCTTAGACTTAGGATTCAATCGTCAAGAAAGGTTTTCCAAAAAACTATCTAAAAGTACCAAATCCTTAGACCTTGGGCCAAACTAATTGACTAAATTGGAGAACTTCCACCTTCCAGTGAATTGTACTGAGTTTAGGCTCTCAAAGAATCCTCTTCAAAAGCTCCAAATATCCAATGCACATGATCCAGATTTGAAACTCCAAGATTTTCGTTTAAGCAGCGTTGCCATTACCACCCTTTGTGATATATCTCCCTCCCCCTAATGGTTTAATAACTTTTCAATAAGCAATAAAAACATTAACTACTTATCAGGAATCCTATTTCCGACGGGACTAATCAGCTTGTATGCATATACTATCCCGATAACTTCATTGAAGGGCGTTTAGTTTCCGCCGCACTTGGAAGAGTTACGTCTCCGGAAGAATCAAATATCCAGCTTGGTCAATGTCCATTTTCCGGACAATCTACTAAAGTTGGAACTTGATGATAATATATTTACGTCAATTTATTTCATTGAGCTTCCTCCAAGATTGAAAGGGTTGGAATTTGCAAGGAACGCGATTGGCGCCATCAATGAGTTGTAGTTGCCTGAATCCTTTGAGAGATTGAACTTCGCGGACCAAAAGTATGATATTCCACCTAATTGTGTTTCTGCACAAAGAAACTCATCAATGAGTTTCAATACCTCTGGAAAGGAAGGCTTGTCGAGTTTTACTGGGTTAACCGAGCTTTCGTCGCGATTATGTAACTTGAATCTACTGAAAAAAAGCTTATCTGAACAGGTTGTTCAATGCTTGGAATTCCCAGCCAGATTGAAATTTTTATATAGTAGTGATAATACGTTCAACGGCTATAATCTATGGAAAACAGAGATCGAGCTAACGCACCCTGGGATGTATATCTAGTGAATTGGAGTTATCTTAGGACAAATTGACCGCCATTTTGCATTTGTTGAGATCTAATGATTAATTAATTCTACCTGGCTGTCTTTTTACCTCTGTGGATATACTAAAGAAATAGTTCAATGAATAGAGAAAGGGAGAGAGTGGCGTAGGGAGAATAATTTCTAGTGTGAAAAGCATAATGGAAAGTTATATATTACAACCGATTTATTTAAATGGAAAGTACATTAGAAGCTGATTAAGTGACAGCTTAGAACCGAAGTAAACATGAAGTCACACTATAAAACAAAAAAAACTGCAATGGAGCAAGTAATTACCAAGATATTAATCACATGAATCGATTTTCTAACCAGAACCGCTTTAGTACGCCCAGTAGGTAATAGACATATCCAAGTTCGGTGAACGGTAAATATTACTCATAGATAGGTTTCTTAATGCATAATATACCACCAAACTCACATATATTTTGATTCACTCTGTTCTACCCCTGCCCTGGTGGAACTGTTGAAATATGGTTCTGTATATAGCTTCCACTACTTATAATACTGTTTAGTACATAGCTACGCATACTGCACCTGAACTACATTCACTTGTTTGGTACCTTCTACTCTTTCAACCGTATCCTACGTACGTCCCACCTGCATGCAGTTCTTCTGATTAGGAATAATATATTTATTAACCTATTTATAAACTTATACTCAACAATATATCATTAATACTATTCTGACATATTCAACCCTTCAACGACTGGAGAAAGATGTTCGATGTCACTAGATTCACATTTGCGATGCAGCGGGTATATGCACAATAACAGAGAAACACACTTTAAGCATACAGTACATCCATACTCGAATTAAAAGTTTCATGTTATATAATAATATATAAAGTGATTCCTGGGGTTTAGCTAGGAGACATGGATTGGTCTTAACACGAATTCACCCATGTGGTAAGTGTGACATACTCTGTAGATAAGGAATAGCTTGGGACTTCAGGCTGAGAACTTGAAGTGGCTGGAGCTGGGTCGGAAGAGTTTGAGGTAGCAGGCGCTGGATCGGAAGAGTTTGAAGTAACTGGCGCTGGGTCGGAAGAGTTTGAAGCCGTGGATGCTGGATCAGAAGAGCTTGAAGCGGCAGATGTTGGATTGGAAGAGCTTGAAGCAGCAGATGTTGGATCGGAAGAGGTTGAAGTGGAAGAACTTGGATCGGAGGAGCTTGAAGCAGAAGAACTTGGATCGGAGGAGCTTGAAGTAGAGGATGAAAGGTTGGAAGAGCTTGGATCGGAAGAGCTTGAATCTGAAGAGCTTGGAGAGCTTGAAGAGCTTGGAGAAGCGGAAGAACTTGGACACAGAGTAACAGCGGTAATCAACGATGTAGAAACTGTACCAACTAGCGCAGTTTGAGTGACTGTTTGGGTTTGAGTATTCGTGAGTGTAGAGTAGAAGGTACCATATCGTGGAATTAAGAGAATGGTAGTTGTAGCTGACGTCCACGTGCTGGTCAGGGTAATCGTATAGGTATTTGTCTCAAAGAACGTAGTGCTATAAGTGTAAGCTGATTGAAGTACTTTATCAACTACCGTACACCCATTGGACTGAACAGAAGTTATGGTTGCCGTTATAACGCTAGGAGGTGGAGTTGTGCCCGTACACTGGCCCCAGGTCATACAGTTACCGAAAACTGGGTATCCCAAGGCGACACAGTTCGAAGTGATTGAACTGAGAGTACAAGTCAAGCCGTTGATTGGGTTGAGCCAAAAAGCTGCGGACCCCAAAATAACGGTCTGGGGACTTGGCCCACCTGTAAATGACAGAGTGTAGCCGATCAAGGAATTGAAACAGTTGAGCCCATTTGTAAGATCCACACCGAGCACAATTGGATAGGTGACAGTGTCGTTATAAGAAAGAATAAAACCACCCTGAGTAGGGTTAACAACCACATTAAGAGTAGTGAGCAAAGAAACAGCGGCAGTCAATGTACTGATATCAAACCCAGTGGCATCTAACGGGTTGTCGAAGGTGAAGAACCACTGCACGATGTACTTGTAGCTCCTTACTCCGGTTCCTAAGATGGCAACGTCATTGGTCGAAGCAGCATAGAAATCGGCGGTAGCTTGCCAGGCAGACAGACCCAGACCACCAGAAGTAACATACGAATTACAAAGGTTGGATGGAGATGGGTTGGTGAGACTGGTGGTGACAGTAGTAATGCTAATGGCGGCAGTGGCTACCTGGAACAAGAAGGGAACCAAAAACAACGGAGAGAGTTTCATGGTGTTGATAATGTTGATGTTATTTAAGAAGGACTTCTAAATTAACTGGGGGCATTGTTTTTCTTATATAGCACTTGGTTTACTACCGTGAGAGGTGATTTAAAGATCGTCATTACTGTCCCTTCAAGGCTCAACCAGTGCATACTCAGCGCCTGCAGAGGAAAACTTAATCTCATAGGGATAATAAGGGTCTTAAGCAACAGGGTTCATTAGAATACCAGTTATGGATCAGGAACTTTGCTAATCCCTGTTGGGCAGGATGCCTCCTGTGTAGGATCTACAGCTAGTTTCTGTCGGTCATTGGTACCACAAGATACGTCTCTGATCTAGATTTCAACAGTACTGATTTATCTCAACAGTGCCTAATTTCTTGTAATCTAGAAAGGCTTGAAATGAAGGATCTCATATTTCTCCATCTTTTATGTGGTAACTGATTCCAAGTGGCCATAGTGTCCATGTATAAGCTTAACAGGGATAATCGGTTTTAGCACCGTGCAGAGAATGTACCACTATATGATCTTATGTGCATATGCAGTGATGCATCTCCGTTTAGTGACAGACTATCTTAGGCGAGATTAATAAGCGACCCTTCTGCTTAACGATACTTCCAGGTATGTCGTTTAGCGGTTTGGAGGTGCTAAATATACGGCCACCTTGTAGCTCTGTTTCCAAATTCAAGGTGGTTGGTATAGGACTGATAGCTTATAACCATTGCCATACGAGGATAGTGGGGTTGTTTAATGTAAGAGGTAAAGATTGGCGTTGTAGGTCAACGGATCGGCGGTATGCGCTTTACACTGGGTGGGTGGATTTGGTGTAACCTCTTGAGCCCCAGCGAAACAAAAAGCAAGCACATACACGAGGATCAGATTGGGAAAGCGGAAGAATCCCTCACAAAGTGTTATACTGAGATGTACTAATAAGCACTTACACATTAACTGGTCTTGGAACGTTGGCTACCTATTCCAACATGACAGGAGATGTAGTCCGTACCAAGTCTGAAACAACGACCCCGGGAAAAAATACCTGGACTCTACCGTGAATTATCACACCACGCACACATATACCCACTAAATAGTAACATAGCCTTGATCTACAACATTGGGTGCTTCCTTTTAACATCATGAATCCTGTACACTAATAAAAGGAGTATGTCTGCACAACTACAGCACCTGTACGCCAAGGAAAGGAGTATATCTGCGCATCTACTACAGCACCTGTATAAGCAATGCTAGCAATGTCACACTTTTGGTATGTCTCTCTGCGCCCGATATTGATGCGGTACCGGTTAAGATTCTAGGCTCTTGTTTTTGGTCTTTTGTTCGCTTATTATTCTTGAGAAAATGACAAGGCAGACCCTAGCTATCAGGACACACTATGTAGTCATGTCTCGAGTGAGCCACGGTATCGTTTATCCTGTATTAGACTCCACTAACTGACTCTTTGAGTCCCTTCAGAGTCCAGTGAACTCTACCCCACGAGGCATACTCGTCTGACATGCAGACCCCAACTAGCCGTTTGACGCACTCTGAAAATTCCGTATCTCGTATTAATCCCTGTTCAAGCCTTTAAATGCACGGTTTAGATTTTTTTTTCCAGGGTTAACCAGAATCTCGTTCCGCGCTTGCGTTAGCATAATAAATTTAGATGATATCGCTGATCGTTTTCGGCGCATTCTCTATTGTCATGCCACTGCACAAGTCCCTCGAGACCGTGCAACACCATATTCCCGTCCGGCTCATTATCACAGGTTTTGTCTGGTAAACCAAGTAGCCAAACTTTGTATGTTAATGAAACATATACATAGTTCGTGCTAAGCTCAATTCATACACTTGCAGAGCTACAGACATGAGATGGTCTATTTATAACCGTATGCACGCAAATCTCACAGAACGATCGTTTCAGCCACTAGGCACGCATATGAACACGCACAATTTTAGGCGTATATACAGGCGCATGAATATGAGCAGGAGTCTGGATTCCTGACTCAGTACAGGGCCATATATAATGGCTTACCGCTACCCTTTAGAATAAAATACCAGGGCTAGGATGCATGATTATGGTGGCGCCGCATTAGGGTGCACTGATCCGCCCTTATTACCGGGAAAAGATCCTGGATGTACCTAAACATCAATGCAGTTCTACTGCTTGAGGGGTTGAATCAGTGACAGCGCATGTGATTACCATCGTCCAGCTGTAGCGTTATTTTCAATTTCGCAGAAGCCTAAATAGCTCAAATGATTCGCGAATAATTTTGAAATTTGCTACTCTAACTATCGGAAGCTATATGGATTAGTGGCACTTGATATTCATACACAGGTTGTTGGGAACTACGGTTGAACCCCCACGTACATGTGTCATATGTTAAAATTAGGTTCAAGTTGGAATTCTAAGACAGGCCTCCTACTCCTACTGTCAAATTAGGACGTTAACTTAACCCCAGTAATCAATAGCCCGATCAGTACGTGTGTTTTTAGTTGCCTTTTAATATCAGTATGAATTCGTATAAGTTTATCTGTTTACACTTTTCTTGGAAAGTATCATGATGCGTCAGGTTGCCTGCCGGACAACACTCAAATACAGAGAAAAGAACAAATTCCGTAAATACAAGGAATTTATAGTGTTTTCAAGCATGCAAAGGTCAGGTTTCTCACTCGATAATTATTCCCGATATGCCCTTATTCCTACCACGTAAAGGATAATCACCCATTTGAGCAATTTTACCAGTGCAGTATACGAACATACTATTATTACTCCCATATGTATCTATTCTTATACTGTATCTTATCTGGCTACATTCGCTAGCGAAACACTACAATTCCCATATTGACCATAATCCGCTCTATTCAAGACTCTGCCTCCTAGGTAAACGGGTTCCACCACTCATTACCAGTGCAATTCGTCTATAATCCTTGGCGATTTATCTCTCTATACGTCAAGTGTTTATGTTTCCTTGTCCAAGCTGAGCAATTATCTTCACCAGATATGCTAGTCATCACCTTACCCATATCTCAGGTCTTTCAAAATTAGCAAAAGGTTCATATCTATCAGCGGCGACTATCTCGTTCTTGGCTTCTGGTATATTGAAGTTAAAGAGGCATGACTGGCTCTTTGTTGGGTTTAGTTATTCCTCTGAAGGTTCTCCTAATCTATGTATTGGCGTTCCCTCCTTCCTTATTGTGCCTTTCCCCGAGGAACGTTTGCTCCTTGGAGGCTATAGTGTCGGTTAAATTCCTAAGGCATAACATCTGTATACATGTATCCTTAGCTCCAGGTTTTTGCATAGGGTTATATGATCAGCAAAATACACCAGAATTGGGTTATATGATCAGCAAAATACACCAGAATTGGGTTACGGCCATATTTCAGTAGCTATCATTGAATGCGCAAATCTTTATCTCCATTAGAAACCTTTCCTTGGTTTATACTCATAAACACCCAGACCTATTCTACCTAACTTCCTTATCTGTAGCCCCTACAAAGTTCACATTGTAGCATAGTACCGAGGCAATTCTGTTACAGGATCAAAAATTCATTCAGATGACAATATTAGTTATTCAAGGAAGGGTATATCAATCAGATATCTAATAAATATCTACATTACTGCGCCGCTCTTCCATGGCAACGGATCCAAAGTCGATGGCCAAACGTTTTCGGTTATTGAAGGTTAGACTCATTCCTTCTAACTCAACCATTTCCATCTTCTTTTAAGCTCCAAAAGGTTAGCTAGCCGTTTTGGTGTACTGCCCGGCTTTGGCTAATCGTGGCATTAGGACAGGCTTGTATGCACTTGCTACAGGATGTGTAAAGATACGTAGATCCAGAGAATCTCTCCGCGATTTATCCACCAAACAAAAAGTGCGGGTATGGATACAGGATTTAACTTCAGAATATTGAAATAATGCTGAAAAAAAAACACCTCTACCAACGTACGATTGTAGAAATATGACATTAAAGCGGATATCTGCATTTTACCATGGCGGGTCCATGTAGTAAAGTCATATACTCAAGGGTCGTGTAGTGATAACGCATACCGCCTTCCTGCGGCTTGAAGTACGACTCCGAAGTTCAAATTACCGCGAGCCACAATCTGCTCAATTGGAGAGTATCATGTTCTCAAAATCACGATGGACAATGGCTACTCAGACGCACCCTGTTTGAAGCGTCGCAAATTATCCTTAGCTGACTTTCAAGACCTTCCACGACACCTATACCAACACGTTGTCAAGTTCCTTCCCCAGCAGGACCTCGTTGCCCTCGCTCAGGTATCACTGCATTTCAACCCGCTATGCAACAAGCGGTTATATTCCAGAATCCTTTTCACACCCCGTGAGTGCATCTTGCTAAGCGCCACATTGGTTTATGATTATTGGACTATTGCTAGATCACTGGATCTGCTCTTCCCGGATAACCATTTGTCTGCTTTTTACACGCGTGAGATCACTATTGCAGATGGTAGCGTCTATGATAGCATAATTCCCTGGTTCAACGCTATTTCCTTTGTAAACCTCCAGAAGTTTGTTCCTCTTGGTATTCAGAATCCTGAATGCTTGGCGGGCTTTGAAACTAAACAATTTGAGACTCTCTCCACCGTGGTGAGTCCTTTTCAGTCCACAACATTCCCTCAAACCTTTAAGGAAATGATAGTTTCCGCCCACGTCAACAATTGGTTGTATGATTATAATATTACTGAGAATGCTGAGCTGGATTTGAAAGCAATGACATCCAACAAGGGTGTCGTTTCGTCCTTAAAAGTGTTTTCATCTATGAAGTGTGGCCTCCGATATCTCGACGAGCTTAGTCAACTATTTGGAAAGTCAGCCATTCAGAAAATAGATCTAAAGATATTTTCCCTAAGTCATGTGCACCGGTATGATAACATCGATCCTGAAGTTGAGCCAGACCCCATGCTTCGCTTAGAAGTTTTGAGTATGTTGGTCACCGCACCCATGCCTAGATTGGAGTACAGTCTAGTTCTGGAATTTTTACAAGTGGGGAAGGTACAAAATCTCGAGCTCGAAGTGGGCTGTATGGATCGATCGTCCGGATGTTTATGCTCCGAGGAGTTTCTAGCTAATTGTTGCGGTGGGTTCAGGACCTTGAAAAAACTAGTCCTAACCAGAGGTGATTATCCAATCCTACGGGAGCTACATGAATGGCACGATAGCTTTGGTGGCTTGATCACCGCTAACCTGGGGACCCTTGAGTACCTTTACGTCAACTTCAACAATATTGTCCTCCCCGTTCATGAGATGGCACAAGTGAGCTTGGAGAGCATCGAACGGTTGAGAAACTCGTCACTTCTCTTTATGGGGAGCATCATGCAGTGTAAAATTTTGGAAGAGTTGGTCATAACAGACTTTGTGGAGTCATACTTGTGCTTTCACAGCAACATCAAGGAATATTTCACGCAACGTGCCAAGGACCCGCAAGGCTTAATCCAGTGTCCTGAATGCCAAAGGGTTTTCGATGAATTTCCGGACAAAGACCGGTTTTTCGAGGCTATACTTGAGGTTTTACCAGGAATCCAGTCCAGGACTATGGATCTGGGTATAGATACTTGTCTCTCAAAGTTGGATATCCTCAGACTCCCGTACACTGTGGGGAGAGAGAAAATAGATCCCCTTTCCCCGAGCCTGGGTGGCTATTCCGACGAAGAAGAAACGGAGGAAATGACTGATAAGATGTTCGCGAGTATTGTCAATCTTATTGCTCACTGTTTAATGCCGACTGTGGAAACTTTACTTGAGGCGTTGCCGAAACTCCGGACGGTATCGTTGGATGGAATCCTTTTTGAAAGCAGGAATAGCCGCGGTATCCGTTCCATGGTATGTGTAAGTGAAGTTTATCAAGGACATACATAGTTGACTGTTTGGGCAATGTGTGGAAACCAATGAGGTACCATGAAGCTTAGTCTATATACTTTTGTGTATATTTAACGTGTTCCAGTAGAGTGATTTTTTTTTTTTTGATTTTTTTTTATTAATCTGATATTGATACAAATATTCGCTTTAGCTACTTTTATTTCTTCACCAGACGTAGCGGTGTGAGATCTCATAACATTCGGTAAATACTTTGAACTTAATTACTTTTTATTTTTGGTAATATCATAATCTATTGCATGCATTAACATCTATTCCTTGCTCTCGGCCTCAAGACACTTGTAGAGAAAGTCAATAGCCTGCTTGACTGGGAGCTCGTCTAAGGAGTAACCAGTCCATAATTGCTGCTGCGCAATCCCTTGGTAGATCATGGCTTCAACTCCGCTAATCACGTTCCAGCCTTCTGCCTGGAAATCCTTGTACAAAGTGGTGTAGATCCTTGGGTGGTAGCACATCTCCAACACTGCACCTTGTTTGGCATGCAAAAACACATCCAAGGTGGCTCTGGCCTGGAGTTCCGACTCAGTGGTGGGAGCAAAATCTGGCACGGTTAAAACTGCCATCGATGGTTTTGCCAAGGCTTCGGCCTGTTCAGGGGTAGATACATGGATAATTTCACCTTTGAATCCACCCTTGTGCATAGATTCGGAAACAGCTCGGACCTCTTCCTCATCACGGTTGACGATATAAATCATGGAGCAGCCTAGGAAGGCGTACAATGCATAGACAGCAGAACGACAGGCACCACCACCACCGTAAACCAAGCCTGGTTTGCCCCTGTTCTCGTCCACAACCTTTTTAGCCTCCGGATTCTTGAGAAAGGAGTTATACACACCAACTGTATCGGTGTTTGTACCAATGTACAAGGTCTTACCATTACCATCCTTACGGGTGTAGACGGTGTTGATAGAACCAACGCCTCTGGCTTGGGCGTCCACGAGGTCCACACGGTCCAAAAAAGCAATCTTGTTAGGCATAGTGACGGCACTGCCGATACAGTTCTCGGCCTTTAACGCTGTTTCAAACTCAGAGATATCAGTACTGTCAAACGTCTGGTAGGTCCAGTTTAGGCCCATGATCCTGAACATCTCGTTCTGGAGCACTGGCGATTTGGAGTGGGATATATTCTTCCCAAAAAGATGAAACACGAGCTCCTTCTTTCTCAATTCCTCAAACGGTTCGGTTGGCTGTAATGTTGTGGTAGTCATATTGTGTAAGTGTCAGCGTGGAGAGAAATGTGAGGTGCTATTTTTCGGTAGCCCTCTGGTGCGTTATATATCTCACGCTTATTGTGCATAAAGCGTAAACTTTTGAGCAGGCTGAAGGCCCAGGAGAAAAGAGCCGCATGCGGCTAAACATTTTCCCGCGGTCATGCTCCAGCGTTCCGCAGAGACGAAAGCCCGTAAAGGCTAAGGCTTTAGCCGAACCGTACTGCAAAACCGGTTGTGTTCGTTACTATGGTAGAAACCGACGGCTTACGGTATTGTCTGCAGTCATTTGCGGGCTGCTTATTTCGCGGTTAAAGTCAGTTACGTAAGGGAGCTGCTGACGGGATTTAGAACGGGTACCCGGTTATCAACATGCTAATTGTTGAAACCCGAAGCTTGCAAAAATAAAAGCTAATGTTAGAGAGTAGCCAAACTCAAATATTGGCTTTTTTTCTCTTTGTTAAAGTTCAATGTGTTTTAAGTTAGCGGTGAAAGTTATGGTGGAGGTACGAACCTTCCATTGAGCTGCAGTCAAATAACAAAGCGGATATTTGTCATTGATGTCACAGAGTAAGATATTACACGGTATAGAGTAAATAAATGAGCCCCTGATGAGATCTGACTCCTTCATTTCCCCCTCAGTCACCCGAACAAGACGTAGTGATGTTCAATAGACTTCATCTATACCTAATGCTTCATGCTTATTTTTAACCGATACCTAAATTCATCGTGCTTCGAGAACCATCTAATCAGATAAACCCTTTGTACATTCTAGCCTCCATACAATACTCTACTATATTCTACTTGATATGACCAGTATCAACTAGCTGCACTATCTACCTTGTTGCACCTGATTTTCGCCTTCTGGAAGCTCCATGTTCATGCCCAACGCCGTCATGGACCCCCCAACGTAACCCAAGTTCTTCAAGAACTGATCTACGCGCGATTCGTCGCGCTGGAAGTCAGTGTCGAGCATAAACACATCCAAATCGTCATTCGTGACCACGTCATTCGTGGCCATTGACTGCGCTGCCAGCTCATCCAATGGCAGAAGCGTGGGATTTATCGTGGCAAGAAGATCGTTGCGAGAAAAGGTGGTTGTCTCTTTGAACTTGGAACCAAACGTGCCCAACTCGGTCTGATCGTCGAAGCGTGCAAAGCTGCCAAAGAGCGACGGACGAACGGGTTCGGGTGGCGGGGGATCCTTCGCCTTTTCCATCTCTGAGGGCACAGGATTGAGCACGTCGCGAAACAGGAGCAGCCGCGTTTCGCCCTTGCCGGAGCGAGTGATATCCATCAACTTGGCGGTAATCTGGCATGGAACAGACCCGCTCTTGGCCTGCTGCAACATAGCAGAAAACTTTCCGAGTACTGCCTCCTTCACGGCTGCGTCCAGCGAGAGCAACTCGGGGCTACTCATGCTCAAAGTCAAATAGTAGTCGACGAAAGGAATCTGTGCAAACTTCTCCGGGGAAATCTTTTCCAAGATATTCAAGCTGCCCAAGACGCCGCGTGTGTAGCACTGGTCGCGACGGATGACAAGCGGGCGCGTGAACTCCAGGTTCTCCAAGCTGCCCAAGCGCACACCCAAAATGCACAATGTGAGATTATAGATGAGATGTAAGCCCACCACAAATGGGGGGGATTTGGCCACACCGGCGACCAGCGTAGCGTCGAGCTGACAGTACGGCGGAAGGTGGATTATCCAGTCCTGGAGACACCGCTCTACGTATTCCACACTGATCAGCGACAGCCGGAGCGTGTCCTTGTGGGCGGGAGCAACGTCGAGCGACGATGTAATCGCCATATTAACGAGTGACATCACGCGGAGGAGCGCATTGTGCGTCGAGAGACATCGTCCGCTGTCAAACAGAAGGCAGGGGCCATCAGCCACATACTCGCGCCACGCATCCCACTCCTCCCAACCATCCTCGTTAACTACCGGTGTGGGCCAATCAGAGGCTCGGATAAGCGGTGAGCGGCCCATACGCGATGATAGAAGTGTGTTGAGCACGTAGACGGAGCTCCAGGTGCGTTCACGCGTGTCGCAGTCCACCTTGTTCAGCACCACGTTCTCGTCCAGGCGCTCAGTAGAATTAATTAGCCGCACGTCGATGGCCATTCGAGAGGCCGATGATACGAGCACCCAGGAGTAGTCCCAGTTTCCGGCGCCATAGTGGTAGAAGCCCACGAGGAGCATTGACTGGATGGTTTCAATTGTGGACGCGGGTGAGTTTTCCAAAGAGAGAATGGCGTTTCGCGCGTAGAACGCGGCAAGCGACTTTGACAGCGCGTCAACGTAGCCCTCGGCACTCGCCTGGCCCAACGCCAAGATTGTCCACACCAACGCCGTCATGTTAAAGTCTTGTAACGGCTTTTCGCCAGACTGGTGGATATAACGGATGATGGGGAACCGATTAACCATGGGAAACCACGGGTGTACCATCTGGAAGTACACATCTACCAACTTACGCGCGTTTGCCGGAAACAGGAAGATCTCTGCTGGTGGTGACTTGAGCGTAGATGAGCGCACGTGGAAGATGGAGCCCACGCGGAACGGCGATACGGTTCCGGGGGCAAGCAGCTGGTTGTAGAGGGCGATAGTTTTGGCACTAAAGCCGGAAATTAAACCCGAAAGCCCATGATATTGGAGCGAAATTGGCTCCCATTCTTCAGTGTCGAAAGACGGAAACACCACGTTTTCAGGCTTGCGCTTCTCGACTGGCTCTGCTACTACCTCATCCTGCACGAGCTGGTCAAACAACCCTGCATATGGTGACTCTTTCCACTGTCGCTGAAACTTGGAACACCCTCCAGTGATAGCCAGCCGTTCCTCGGGGTCCGAGAGGAGCTTTAAAAGCAATGACTCAATGTCGGCGGTGGGGGTCGTTTCAACAGTATTGAGAAGCCGCACAAGTAACGACTGGAAGAGTGCGTTGCGACGCTCCAAGCCATGGATGTACCCTGTGGGTAAGCCACGTCGTTTGCTCGACGACGTGTACACACAGACCTCGTTCTGCTGGAAACACGAGGTGCACCGTGGCTGGGCACCATCGCATTTGGCCTTGCGTGAGCGACAGAAGTCGCACGCCTGACGTACCCGCTTTCGTTTCAATGTATCCTCCATGGTAGGTGGTAAGTGGAAATGGAGGAAGAGATGTTAGAAAGTTGTGAGGTACTGCGGGAAAATGAATTTGCAGATGTATCCCGGGTTGCGGCAGGTAATTTACCCAGAGATCGCATGCGCATAAGCGTTTAGCCTGCCGGGTCACGCCCTGTAGCAAGCAAATGGTGCGGGGACGCCCCCACAATTTAAACTTACTTATTGATTAGATCTACGTAGTGCGTATATGCTGTGATATATGTCTTATCTATCCAGCCCCACCATTGATAAGTATAAATATTAGCCTTGTTATAAGAATTATAGATAATAAATTGTAGTTAAATCGTACGTAAATTGTACATAAATTATTCATATATATATTTAACTAGATTTCACAATATAAATTAGAAATTATAAAAATTAAATGCAAAAGTATTCATTCATTATCCATTAACTCATAAATTCAATAACTCGACTTTTATGGGTAACTGATGACATCTACTCATAAATAAGATTATACTTAAGCTACAACGCATGAAATGGCCACAGTCATAAATATATATCCATCCAGATACGAGAATTTTTTACAATTACCGTCAGTCTGCCATTATATTAAAACTTTTAAGCTATATGCGGTACTAGATCTGGATGGTCTTCAAGTTTGGGGATACGGTGTAAGGAGCCTCGGTCTTGGCAGAAATCTCCTCCAAAGTAGTTTCTGGATCGATTTCGATTAAAACCAACTTGGAGTCGATAACATCAAAGACGGCCAAGTCAGTGATTACACGCGAAACACAGCCTTTACCAGTGAGTGGGAATGCGCAGGTCTCCAAGATCTTTGGGCGGCCCTTCTTGTCAACGTGTTCCATGACCACAACGACTCTAGTGGCCTTGGAGTTGGCGACCAAGTCCATAGCGCCACCCATACCCTTCACTCGGCCCGGCAAACCCCAGTTAGCAAGATCACCGGAGGCAGAAACCTGTAAGCCACCCAAGATGGTCAAGTCAACCTTACCCCCACGGATCATGGCAAAGGACTCCTCAGAGCCAAACAAAGAGGCACCCGGGTTCAAGGTGACGGTTTCTTTACCGGCATTAATCAAGTCGGCATCTTCCTGGCCTTCGACTGGGTATGGACCCAATCCCAATAAACCGTTTTCGGACTGTAAAGTTACATTAACACCCTTTGGCAAGTAGGCTGGTGCCAAGGTTGGCATACCAATTCCCAAGTTGGCATAAGAACCGTCCTTAAATTCTTGGGCAGCACGTCTGACAATCTTCTCTCTCTTCAAGTCTGCCGCTGAAACGTTATCCACCTTGATCTCAGCCTTGTCTTCGGAGTATTTGAAGATCTCAATATCCTTTGGTGTTGTGGACTGAACGATTCTGTTGACGTAGATCGACTGTAAGTGGACATTTTCCGGCTCGATCTCACCCGGTTCGACGATATTTTCGGCTTCTACGATGGTCAAGTTGGCGTTTTTACCCATTACGGTATTAAAGTTCTGTGCAGCGCCTCTGAACCAACAGTTCCCCAAGGTATCAACCTTGTAGGCCTTGATGACAGCTACATCACCCTTGATGGCTTCCTCCAACAAGAAGGTGCGGCCATCGTACTCGCGGGTCTCCCTTGGCTTGGAGGTCTTCAACACCTTGGTGCCAGTTGAGTCGTATCTAACCGGCAACAAGCCATCTTCCAACCAGGTGCCAGCTCCGGCTGGGGAATAGAATGCCGGAATACCCGCAGCACCAGCACGCACTCTCTCGGCCAAGTTCCCCTGTGGGGTCAACTCCAAGTCAATTTCACCCTTCAAGTACATCTTTTCAAAGGTGCGGTTCCCACCGATATACGAAGATATCATCTTGGTAATCTGCCCGGTCACCAACAACTGTGACAACCCTCTGCCGTCCAACCCGGCGTTGTTCGAAACGGCGGTGATGTTTTGCACCTCTGTCCTCTCTTTCAAGGCATTGATTATGGTGTCAGGAACACCAGAGAGTCCGAATCCACCAGACAACAAGGTGATTCCAGACTTTATCCCGGTGAGGGCTTCGTCTGTGGTCATGACCTTGGAGCTGGATGCGAAGCGGAAAAAAATATATGGGGAGTGTTTCAAGTGACGAGCCAACATTGTGGAAATATGTGATGTAGTAGGAAATGGACAAGGGGAATAGGAACGGAGGCATTACGCATGTATATATATGAAATAAGACCCATAACGGCTGAAATTTTACGCATCGCATATAGTTCTCGGGAGTATCCCGGAGGATGCGTCCTGCACGCGCGGAACAGTGGTCACCCCGCGCACGGATAAGCATATTTCCGCGCATGCAGCCCCGGAGAATCAGAAACGCCTGTACATCACTGAAAAATCCACGAGCAGCCCCGGATATATATGCCACCATCCGTCTCCAGCTATAGCCTTTTTCTGCCCAAATTATTCTTCTGTTTCCTATCTATTCTACACTATGTCTTTGTTGAAGAAATTGCCTAGCGATATCGTCATCCTTTCCGCCATTAGAACTCCGATCACCAAGGCCGTCAAGGGTGGGTTGGCTAAGATGTACCCAGAGGAATTACTCCACAAGGTGCTTACTGGTACCATTAAGCGCTCCGGGATCGACCCAGCCGTCGTGGATGACGTGATCGTCGGTACCGTGTTACAGACACTCGGCGGGCAGAAGGCCTCGGCTCTTGCTGTCAAGGCTGCTGGTTTCCCAATCACCACTACCGTTAACACAGTCAACCGCCAGTGTGCGTCCTCGGCACAGGCATTGTCCTACGCAGCCGCCTCCATCATGGCCGGTGAACAATCTGTTGCGGTCGCTGCCGGTGTCGAGTCCATGACCCACGACTACTTCCCACACAGAGGGATTCCAACTAGGATTTACCAACCGTTCAGAGATGCCGCCGATAGCGAAGCCCAGGCGGTTTTGATGCCAATGGGCCTCACCTCGGAAAATGTTGCCAGCGAATTTAGTATTACCCGGGAGGACCAGGACAAGTTTGCATTCCAGTCCCAGCAGAAGGCTGCCGCGGCCACCGAATCTGGCCACTTTCTCAAAGAAATTCTCCCAGTACAGGCCAGAGCTAACGAAGACAGTGAAACTCCAGTTTATAAGGAAATAACCCGTGACGATGGGATTCGTGGTTCCGTCACTTTGGAAAAGTTGGCCACCTTGAAGCCGGCCTTCACCGAAACCGGTACTACCACCGCCGGTAATGCTTCCCAGATATCCGATGGTGCCTCTGCTGTTTTGATCACCACTCGTGCCAAGGCTGCTGAACTCGGGATCAAACCAATTGGCCGCTATTTGGGTTCTGCTGTTGCTGGTGTGCCGTCCCACCTCATGGGGATCGGTCCATCAGTGGCCGTTCCCCAGTTGCTTTCCCGTTTTGGCTTGACCGTTAATGATATTGACATTTTCGAGTTGAATGAAGCTTTTGCTTCCCAGTCCTTATACTGTATTCGCAAGATGGGCATTGCCGAGTCTAAAGTGAACCCATACGGTGGTGCCATCGCCATCGGCCACCCATTGGGTGCTACCGGTGGGAGACTCATTGCCACCTTGCTTAACGGGTTGCAGACCCAGGGTAAACAATTGGGTGTTATTTCCATGTGTACTTCTACCGGTCAAGGCTACGCCGCCTTGTTTGCCAATGAAGAGTAAGTTTTCAGGGGCAGGATTCTAGTAGGTATTTAATAACTTCGATAATAGAACAGCTGTAAGAGTAGGCGCTATAATCTGTATAATCACCGTTACTAATATTACGTCGACTATGCAGCTGATGGCGGAGTTAGGCTTTGTCACCTATGAAACTGCCCATTGACACTTGATATCGCCAGTTTCGTTACTCTTTTAGAGTAATAAAAATCCATACCAGTTAGTCTCTTTATATATCCAGTGTTCCCTAATATACAATCTCGCTTTTAGGGTTATTTGGCAACGACTAGGAAGACAAATTTGTGCAGAATCAGCGGAAAAATGGCAATGGAGCGAACGGGCGGGTGTCATTCTTCCATATCCAGACTCATCCAGCGTCGCGTAGGGTTTCTCAAGCCCTGATCAGATAATGTGATAAATCAATACTTTTAATTAATCAATTATTCTTTCAAAATTAGTAAAACAACCATGAATGGGTTTCTTCGGACTTCCTGCGTTCTGTACATAACCAGGCCATGTATTCGACCATTTTTCCGTCTAGAATTTTCAAGCCATATCTTTGGCTTATCGTACGGGAGAAGCCCTTACAGAGAGTATACGTGTATTATATTGGGCTTAATACCCGATGAGAATTATGAAAGAATATCTCAATATGTGAATTTCTGATAGCACCGTAGAACGAACTCGTTTCTCCGAACTCACTTCCCGTACCCGGAGTGATTTATGAAGAATTCGCGCATAGTATATGCTGCGGAAATGTGTCCCTTCTGATGCTCCCTGATTACACAGGCCAGTGATCTAAGCCCCGGGAAGACTGCATATGGTATGACACCGGAAAATGGCAGAGAAAATGAATTAGAGTGAGAATAAAAACGAGGAATGACATATCTCTTTCATCCTTTGGCAGAAAGGCAAATCGTTTCAGTATGACAAATTGAAAAGCCCGGAGCCTCGATCTGAGCCTAAGCACCAAATACTCAAAATCAGCATCAAAGTGATATCTCCAGAGTGCTTTACAATTCACAAATGTGTTATTGGCCCCAATAACGTTAAATAACTTTTAAATTACCCAGGTATGCAGATTGATGAGTGCGATATAATATTGGAAACTGCAAATAAAACCATGTAGGCTGATCTAAACAAACCAAGCGGAAATTTCTTGGCTATCACCCCAATACTTCTCACCCCTATTAGAAGTAACATACCCCATCAAGCATATCTCAGTGAGCCTAAATTCTTATTCCCACTTCACTTCTTTCACTCTACAGAGAAAAGTAATACCATAAACCCATATCTACGTTATATGTTTCGCAGGTGAATATAGAAAAATATTCTTGGATAAATAAATCAAGTATATACAACTAGTCCAAGTCAGCAATTGGTAAGCCATCGGCATTTAACTGGATCTTAGGGTCGAACAAATCGACAGCCTTTCGGGAAACATTGTGTCTCAACGCGAGGGACTCGCCCAAGGTGATTATTTTGAAGTCCCAGTTCAAGAACCAGTCACTGGCCTTCATATTGTGCTTCTTGGCTCTCTCTTCACCAAGCGGCTCAAGATCGAAGAGCAACTTGGACTTGACACCGAAGACGGCATCGGAGGTTTCGTATTTGTCACCTCGATGGTACAAGGCGGTGATTAATTCATCATAACCCTCAGCCTTGATGATAAAATGGATATGCGCTGGACGGTATGGGTGTCTGTTGAGCTTGGCCAATAACTTCCCGACTGGACCGTCGTGTGGAATTGGGTATGCCACTGGCTTGGTACATTTGATGGTGAAGGACCCATCCTCACCGGTGCGCACGATTCCTCTCATGTCTGGACCGTCACGGTCGGCATACTGGGTGTCGTACAACCCGTTTTCGTCACACTCCCAGATGTCAATAGAGGCGTTGGCGATTGGCTGACCTTGAGTGTTGGTCAACTTACCCTGGATCAACAACGGCTCACCCTTACCCTCGGAGCACAAGGATTCATCCGAGGTGTGTTCCACGGCATCGTGGGTGTGGAAAGGTCCCAACAAGGTTCCGATAGTGGCACTGTCTGGCTTTGGGTGAGACATCCCGTCAACAAGGACCGAAAGACCAAAGACGTCAGAAAGCAAGATGAATTCCTGTCTGATGTCGGAACAGATCTTACCGCACTCGGTCACGAACTGGATGGCGTTACCCCACTCCTCAGTGGTCAATCTGGTCTCACGGGCAAAGTCGTGCAAGTGATGGACTAATCTTTCCAAAACAAAGCGCACGCGGGCGTCGTTGTGCTGAGAGTTGATGGCAATAACATTCTGGGTGATGGTGTCATCGCTCATATCGAGGATCTTGACGTTTGGGTTTGGCTCTGGAAGGGCCCTCTTTTCGGTGGCCATGGTTGTGTACTGTGTATTTTGTGAATGGAGAGCATAAATTGCAATATTGACCCAGGGGAATTGTTTCTTATGTACTATTCAGATTGAGCATGGGCTTCTCTCAGCCTGGCCGAATTTTCCATCCTGCAAGGAAAAGGTGCATATCCTAATGCGATGACCATTCGGATAAAAAATTAGCCTGTGGGGTAAAATACTTGGAACTGGTAGCCGATAACGTTGGCTTACGTAAAACGTGCATACAACCGATCGGGCCGTTCCGATACCTCTCAAAGTCCCGAGGATTGTAGGAGTATAAGTATTATGGATTTTAGTGTTATTTGGGTATCAAAATGTTTATTTAACCGAAACGATATTATATTAGACGACATGGGGGTCTTTTGTAGTCCACAGACTCCACCCCGCTTATCAGGGTGGATATTGATGGATTGGTTAATCACTAGGACCGATTATTGGAGGGAACACCTTTTAATTCTCCATGAAAATGTTCCTCTGTTCTGCTCTGTTTATTAGAGAGAAATTTTAATATCAAGATTCTGGTTTAAATCGATCGTTCTGTGTCTCTTTCACATTTCCGAAGTTGCCAAGGCCGGGGATATATGCGGCACATGCAGCTAGGAGCTAGAATACGAATCAAAGTATACAAAGTGATAACAGTTCATGTTATACCGTTAGCTTTGTATATCCGCGGTCAGATTACAAATTTACAAGGTTTTGGGGACTGCATGAGAATATTATGGGGTGACAATAGTTCAGAATAGAGCCATTGCTGGATCCTCAACAGACCTTACTTCTGGCCCTCAACAGACCCACAATACAATTCTACGATGGATTATTATCATGCCCCTTTGTCATACAACCGCATATACATTTAAAGAGTCAAACAAAGATATTGCATGTTTTATTTTATATTTGTGCTGGGGGTGCGGGGCTGAACTTGGCATTTGCACATAAGAACGGGTCTGGATCACATCTGAATTGCAACATTGCACCGGCTAAAATTTTCTATTTCAAGGCTAGTTCAGATACCCTTTGTATGACTATGGGTAATATTACTCCACATTATCACCATTAAAAACTCCCGGGAACCGTAGTTGAGGTTTGTGAGTCACTAATGTCTCCCCAGAGTCCGGGGTACGGAAATATGCAAGGCTCATTCCCAAACCACTGATGATTCCGGCAATAAGATTCCCGTAAAGGAGGCTTGGTGACATTAAATTGGGAATTTAATATATAATGTTTTTATTAGTGATTACTTCCGATGATACGGCCCGAGGCTTGCGTTGCTTTCTAGAAATGTCCCTATACGAGTTATTCGTTAGGTTTCTTGTGGATATGGCCCAACAGACATACGATAGACATTAACGGAGCCATGACTCTTGGGAGTTAATCACGGGATACAAATATAATATTTCATACCCATAGAGTACTTTGGTGAACACCAAGCTTAATGCCCAGTATTCAAATATACCTACATGTACAAGTACCATCTAATAAATATGGGCCCAAACTATTGTTCTGGGTGACTAATTACCTCCGTCAAAAATAAATAAAAGAACTTAATTGCCACTTCAGACTACATCAAAAAAAAAAAAAAAAAAAAAAAAAAAAAAAAAAACATAGGTTCCCTATAGAGGTGCACGTACTACCGCTTGTCTGACACCGTCAGCATGCTTAATGTAGCAAAGATTCCTCCAGTTCATAGTCTGCAGCTAAACTCATTTCACACCACACAAAGTCTTATCTTGTGGATGCACACATCGTTTATATTAAAATCTGTATTGTAACCGCCCTCTATTTCTTGTACTGGGTAGCAAACTCTACGGAAGCTTTATACCCAAACACACCCAACCCACAGACCACTCCAACGGCCTTATCCGCGAGAAAACTTTTATGGCGAAACGCTTCTCTAGAATGGACGTTACTGACATGTAACTCTATGTATGGAATTTCTACAGAGAGTAAGGCGTCTCTCAAGGCAATGGAAGTGTGAGTATAAGCCCCAGCATTGATGATAATAAAGTCGATCCCCTGGGTTTGTGCTTCGTGGATACGGTCAACAAGGTTACCCTCATGATTGGACTGGTAGCAAGAGACAGTGGCATCGTGTTTCGAGCCGTGTTCTTGAGAAATGCGCTCAATATCTTTCATAGAGGTATTACCGTATTTTTCAGGTTCCCGTTTACCGAGCAAGTTCAAATTTGGACCATGAATGAGAAGAATTTTCTGCGACATTATCGGGGAGTTATGAGATTAAGGTCTTAGTTGTGATAAGGGTTTACTTATATTGGGGCACTACCATTGAACTGCTGGGCCCACTGGCCCTTTATACCCCACAATACTATAACCTTTGCGTTGGTGAACGCTATACTACCCCGATGTAACGGCAATATTCGGCCGAAAGTGGCTAAAGGTTTAGCCATTTGCTAAAGAGTAGATTTACTGGATTCACGGGTAAAGATGCCTATAGGTTTATCCAGTAGATATACTACGTCGGTTATTTCTTTACCCGAGTGCGTTTTATGGGGTAGAGCTTGACGATTAGGCTAACCCCGCGCGTAGCATCCCGTATAACAAAAGTATGATATAGTACCAGAGGAATCCAGAAATATCTTCCGATTTTGATGACGTTTACTGCATCCCCTTTGTCCATGGTTGCATCACATCAGAGTGCGTATTGAGTTCGCACTTCCGGCTCGCTTGAGTTAATCTTTACACGAACGACGACTGAATAGGAGGTTTGTATAACCATAGCTTCATGAATTAATGCAGGATTGTGTTTCTCATAAGCATACAACCGGCATTTGATTTGCACGTGCTCGCTCTTACATGTTGGGAATGGAAAGGTCTTTCACTGCCAGATTGACGGTTATTCTTTTGGGGCTTAATCAAAACCTTCACAAGACACTTACCCCTCTGCCAATAAGTAAAAATATGTCCGCAGTGGTGTTTGCACCTTGCACTTCTGCGGCAGTTGCAAGCGAGCCAAGCTGAATACGAAAATTCTGCATAGTGCGAGGCCTACATGCACAGCTTCATCACCAATACATGCAGCCGTCAATCTCTGCGGGCAGTCGCATAGCTCATAACCTCTTACCCAAAGGGTGCTTGGGGAAGAGGTTAGTTCTGAAGGCAGTCAGACATATATTATGGTTTAATCTTCCATTGTACAAGAATTGACCTTCCCATTGGTCGAATTTGTGAATTTTAGGGCGAGAAAATTTATGGACCAGGTAAATTTATGGTGCAGCTTCGACCAGCTGTGACATGGCGCGGGGTACGGAAGAGCATGATCCCGTCGGCTAAACGCTCCACCGCACGACCTTTTCCGTGACTGTCAAATGACTTTAAACATAGAGCGCCATTCAACTAACCGTACACTGCACTATTAGACAACCAGTTAGATCCAGTTGTTATTTCTCTAAAGATAGTCGTATCAACCCTCCGCACTCAGTCACAAGCTTCAAGCATCTACCCGAATATTACCTCCCCAAGCTGATACGCAAATCTAACCAGACCCAAGCAAGTTGCAATTATAAGCAAACCGGCACAAACTTACCACAAAGCTATAGAAGTTGGCATTTTCTACCACAGACAGTGCCCGATTCCAAAATCTCTAGTTGCTACATTCACTGAAGCTCCGGCAAATCATTCCGCTCTGCCTGATTTTTTTAGCTCCTAAGTCATACTCGCACTCACATTCCCACTTTCTTCAAATTCTTTCACATGAGTGGCTCGAATACTCCACTCACATCACTGTCTGAGTTCAGCAAAGAGCTGTCACCGGCAGTGCGATACACGCCAAGTATTGTACTCCTCGGGATGCGTGGCGTGGGTAAATCGACGCTCGCGGTAATGGCGTCGGCGGCCCTTCGGTACCGCTACGTGGACCTCGAGCGGTGTGTGTCGCAGGCGACAGGACTTGCCGAGTCAGCATTCATCCAGAAGCACTCGCTCAGTGAGTACCGTGCACGCGAGTACGAGATTATTCGTCGTGCGCTCGAGCTCAATACGCACGGGTGCATCCTCGTGCTCTCCGCGAGTTGCGTAGATCACCGCGACACGGTACTGCTCCTTGTCGAGTACGGTCGCGCTCATCCGGTTATTCACATTGAGTGTGAGGAGTCGCGCATCCTCAACTACATCCGCTACGACGGCCTTTTCGAGAAGGGCTGCAACTTGGTCCAGACCAAATTCCAGCATTACAAGCAGTGTCTGAACTTCGATTACTTCAATCTACAGTCGATGCTGGACCTGGATGAGTCGAATCGTTCTACGCGTGATACGTCAGGCGTCAATGTGCTCGCGCTCAAGGCCGCCGAGACGGACTTTATTCGCTTCCTCTCGTTCATAGTAGCAGGTACGCCTTTCGCACACACAGGCGCACACATCCTCGCACCTGAGCTTACATCGCACTCGTGCGCGGTGCAGCTACCGTTCCCGGAGGTGATCGAGATGGAAATTCTGGTGGGTCAGATGACAGTGGGTGCGGATGCGATTGAGGTTGTAGTGGATGTGGTGCGGCTACTCGAGTACGGCATGCCCACGCGTTCGGTCGATGAGTATGTCGCACGCGTACGCCGGTCGTCCCCCGTTCCGGTCATCCTCACGCTCGGGTTTGAACTCGCAACACCGCTTTCCCCGACAGACATCGACCGGCTCAAGGTTGTCTATTTCAACCTCCTCAACTCAGGGATTCGGCTTGCGGTGGATTACTTATCTGTAGATCTCCGTTTGGCGTATGATTCACCGTTTATTCGCGGCGAAGAGGGTTACTTCTTGCTCAATGAGATCAGCAGCAACAGTTGCAACACAAAGATTATTGGGAGCTACGCCGCGCATAACGCGTCTGTGGGATTCTGGAAGTCTACGGTTCCGATCGAGGTGTGCGGGTTGGCCGAGGATTTGGGATGTGATATTGTACGGATAAGCAAGGAAGCTGAGGAATTTGGGGAGAATTTTGCGGTGGTTGAATTTCTCACCAGTGCGAGTACACCCAATCAACCAAGCACAGGCGGTGCGAACGGGAACGGCTTGAGTACGGATATTAATGCCGAAGCGCTGCGTTCGTCTGATTCGATGCTCATCACTGCTTTCAATACCGGCGAGCTTGGTCGCCTTTCCAAGGTTTTCAACCCGGCTCTCACCCCCGTCAAGCCCAGCATCGGCTCACCCCACCCGTTCCTCGCGGCACAGGCCTCCGCCGGTCAAGTGCTCGCCGGAAAAAAGCCCCTCTTCTGCGTTGCCCCCAGCGACATCTCCGCACGCGATCTCCAGCTCGCACTCCATGCTGCGTTTGTGACCCCCAAACTTCACTTCTACATTATGGGGCTGAGTATCGCCGGATCCCTCTCACCGCTTATGCACAATGCGGCATATGCAGTTCTAGGGCTCCCGCACCACCACCAGTGCTATCAGACATCCGACGTCGCAGACCTCCAGATGCTCATCCGAAGCCCGGGATTCGGCGGTTGTGGCATCTCGATGCCCTTCAAGCTCCAGGCCATTGATTATGTGGACGAAGTATCAGAGCACGTGCGCCGTATCGGCGCACTCAACACGATTGTCGCCGCCCGCGGTGCAGACGTCCGCGCGCCCGCGCGCCTCTTGGGCGAAAACACCGACTGGCTCGGGATTCAAAAAATTGTACTGGAAAATATTTCTCCGATTAATGCGGTGACGGAAGCGAAAACTGCGCTTGTGCTTGGTGCGGGTGGGATGGCGCGTGCATCGCTTTATGCGCTCATCTCTCTTGGGTTCCGTAAGATCTTCTTGTATAACCGCACGGAAGAGAACGCGCGCGACCTCGCGGCGCACTTTAACCGCCAGTCGCCGCTCCGGTTTGGACGTGCATTTCCACAGCTGCACCACTTTGAGATTGTTGTGTTGCGCGACCTTGCACTTGCGCGTGATGCGCCGCCCGTGGGCTTTTCTTGGCCTACTGTCATTGTGCACTGCATTCCGGGGAAAGATTCCGATGGTGCGCTCGTTAACTTTGAGCTTCCCGAGGTCTGGTTTGATTCGCCTGCGGGAGGGGTGTTTATGGAGACCGGGAACGACCCGCTCTGCTCACGTGTATTAATCCGTGCGCGCACATTTGCATCACGCGGCTGGGTTGCAGTCAACGGTTTGGGATTTTTACACGCGCAGGCGATTGCACAGTTCCGGATGCAAACGGGTAAGTTGGCGCCGAGCTTGGTGATGAAGGAGTTATTGACGAAACACTTTTTGGCAGGGCAGTAAGGCGTTCAGACGAATTAGTATGAGCAGACCAGTACGAGCGTAGAGGAGAAGAGGATGTTGTGATTGGTAACGACTTGAATAAATGTTCAAGTATCGTCATTAGTTTTTGTACGCTTAATTACCCTCCAAACCTATCCTCGTAGTTCTAGCTTCCAGGCAATATTCTGAAAAAAATACATTCTACATTCTACATTCGAAAAGGTACCCAGAGATACTCAGAATAGGGCCATGGGGTTAAAAGGTATTGGGACTGGTGAATATCACGTTAGAGTTGCCTGAGATATGAGTATGTTAGGTGTGAGTCCAAGCCTGGAAGATTCCCAAGTGCGTAGCAGTTTTCTTGAAGGTTGCGCACTAATGCTCTTAGGCAAAGCACTGGTTACCCATATTTTTACTACATGCTGAATTGTTATGCAAAATTGGCAGAAACAGGCGAATGACTTGAAGTTTTTGGAATACGCGCGTAGGTGCAAAATGAAAATAAACGGGGTATGTTAGCACTTGAAATGATGTGCATTTCTTTTCGTTTTATACGGGTGATTGGATAAGAACGACTCGTAAACTTTAGAGTGGTTTATAATGGGTATTTCGGGGAACCCCTGGGAACACCTTCATGTTTTCACATTGGTGGCTTTACTTGGCCATAATAAAGTTCTATAGGAAGTTAAAAATATACCCTTTGCTCTTCAAAGCTATTGCTAATACTGGGGAAAGATGTTCTCCTAAGTGTAAAGTAATTTTTCCAATACTTAATATCAAGGAAATGTAGTGTCTGTGAAGGGTGATCATGGTACTACCCACACGCTAGGTCCGGGGAACACGGATGGTTCAGAACCAAGCTGGATTGCATGGAATCACCGGCCATCATAGAGTCAAAATATAAACAATTTTCATAAAGATCAGGAAGCAAAATCTTGTCCTTTGGTCTGGAAGATTAGGAGCATGGAGCAAACTGCCAATACACTAGGTTACAAAAGGAAAAAATATATATATCTAACCCGACGCGGGGGTCGAACCCGCAACCTTGTGATCGCGTACTACTAAGAGTCACACGCTCTACCGATTGAGCTAGCCAGGCAATTAGATGGTTGAACGTGCTCTTATGCTTCCGGTAACATACGGAGTCCTGTTGGCCTGTCTAGAGTTATGCCAAATCCTCGCACTGAACCAACCCCGCTATTTATATGGTATCCCAAATATGGTCTTAAATATTAGCTTTTATTTCCTGCTACTCTTCATTAATGCTCAATTAGTTGCTTACCAGTGTCTGTACGGTACTTGCATCCCGACTCCAAACATGCAAGGATGTATTGCGCAACTCACCTTTTGTTTCCCTGGTTGTATATTATTGATATTTTGGTAAAAAAAAAAAAATCAAGTGATCTTAGTCACCTGAACGGGGATAATTAATGGTGGTAGCTACTTGGAGGCTGTTAGTTCTTCGGCAGTATCATCTACCCATTGATTTTGTATGATACAAATATTGTGTTCCTGTCATTTTCCCACCACAAGGCAGCCCAGTGAGCACAAATAGAACTACTCTACCGCACCATCCAAATCTCATGACACCCCCGTAATACCTAAACAGTCTACAGATGAAATAAACATAATAAATAGACATTAAACAACTTCAGAGAATACCAGATCCTCTCAAATCTGCTTAAACATGCTTCTCCGTACTAAAATCGGAAACCGTCTCGATGTGTTCCTGAGAGCCCTTGCCGACCCTTTTCACCCAGTCCGGAGTAACCCTCTGCTCCTCTCTAAGTCTAATGAGCTCCATTGCTCTAGAGTGTGCTCTCCATGGTGCAACACCCTTTTCGAACAACATGTCCACGTCTCCGATTGGAATCCCCTTGGTGTCCGGGTACAATAACATATAAATGACACACGCGATAATTAACATCGCTGCGAAGAAGAAGAACGTACCATAACCCATTTTAGTGATCATGTTACCACTGAAGCGCGCAAAAATAAAAGCCCAGAACCAGTTAGAAGCGGCGTTAAAACACGAGGCCAAGGTACGGTTGCTCTGGTCAAACATTTCTGAGTTAAGAACCCACGGCAAGCCGGACCAACCAATGGCATAGCCGACAGTCCAAATGTAAAAGAAGGCCAAAGCAGCTTTGCTACCAGCATCAGAGGTTGAGATACCCGCGGCAAGCTTGGCGGCCGGGTTGGCAATCTTGATGTAAGCTCCAATGTACCAAAGAGAGAAAGACCCAAGCGCAGTGCCCCAGTAGATCGGGGTTCTTCTACCAAAGTTATCAACAATGAAGAATGCCCAAATGAAACAGAAAACACCCTTGATCACACCAAACACACCAGTAGAGAGTAACCCAGCAGAAAGAGAGGAAATACCCATGGTCTTCATCACCTGCACAGAGTAGTAGTTAATGGCGTTCACACCAGTGGTATTCTGAAGAATAAAGGTGGAAGTCGTCAAAAGCAAACGGTAGCGAAGGGCCTTGCTTCCGAACAATGCTTTGAACGGACCGGTAAAGCTGGTGCCCACAGTCGCGTCTCTCTCTGCCACTTCTTCCTCCATCATGGCCACTTCCCAGGCAATGTATTCCGAGTCGGGGCTCAAGTTACGGAGATAACACAACGCATTGAGACCCTTATCCTTCTTACCCGCACTGAAGCACCACTTAGGCGACTCTTTGAGGAAAAGGACCCCGACGAAGAACATACCGGAGGGAATGAGCTGGACAGCAAGTGGGATTCTCCATTGCATATCGGTGGTAAAGTGCTGTTCTGTCCCAAAGTTGATGAAAAATCCGACAAGACCGCCCACTTGCCATGCGATTTCGTACATACCCACAAGTCTCCCACGGATAGCAGATGGGGCAATTTCAGAAACATACATAGGAGCCAAGTTGGAAATAGCGCCGATTCCTACACCGGTGAGCACTCTGCCCGCGTAGATGGCCGACAAACCGGTCCTGGCATTCGAGGCAAGCTGGATCCCCGAGCCTAAAGTGATGATCAACCCGGAAAGTGCAAACCCAACCACCCGCCCGTAGTAGCGTCCAATAGGGTAGATAAAGAAGGCGCCGAAAAACGCGCCGGCGTGGAAAAGGGAAATGATGTTTGAGGTGGTGAGGGTCTGTTCGGCTGCCAGCATCTTGGCATAGCCAAACTCGTCTTTGAAGGTGGTGAGGGCAACGGTTCCACCAATGAAACCGGCATCGTAGCCAATAACCACAGCAGCAAAACAGGCCACAATGGCAGCGATGTACACACGGATATTGTATACTTCAGGCGGCGTTGGCCTGCTCTCCTTCTTCTCCGAGAAGGAAGAGAAAAGGTTTTTCACATTGACCATCAGTGTTTATATGGATATTTGTATTTGTTTATTATGAAGGCTGTTTCTAACAGGATTGTTGCAGTGGTGATATACAAGCATGGAATCAGTTTAGAAAAGATTTGGTGATGTTATATACAGATGCTTGCTTCACTTCCTAACCTTGGTTGGTGCGTATGCATTACGGAATGCTTTGTGAAAAATTTCTGGTGTATGCATATGTATAGAGTGTGGTAAGTGACGGACGCAAGTTCAATGTTCCGTCTAGCTTTGAAATTTTGTTGGCGGATATTCGGTTATCCACCGGTGCTGGTTTATCCGGGGAGTATGGGAGGGTAACAACAGCGTCCTCTATATTTCCTTTCGGCTCTCTGGCCAATAGAAGTAGCGGTCATGCTTGGAGAGTGCGGGGCTGCCGCATAAGAAATTATCTGTTCCTTTGGTTGAGTGACTCACTCTAATTTTGTAAGCAGGACGGTGTCTTGGTTATATGCCGGGCTAGCTCCCCGCACAGTATACTCTGGAGCAGATGTTGAGACCTGCGTATGAAATAACTGAGCCGCTTAAAAATTTATCCGCTAGATGCATGATAAGCCAAGGTAATGGAATGCCAGAGTTTCCTCGCCAGCGTTGGTGCGAGTGGGGTACGGCAAAAAAGAGTGCCCAAAACCTGGTGGAGCTCCCCAGTTGCCTAGTGCATATCTAATAGTTTAATCACGGGATTGAACTATTGGATTCGAGATAATGGGTTGTCAGCAGTCACCCTGTCAAGACACCGAGATCTTGTGAAACTTAGTCTTCGCAAATGACTACGAGATTAGAAATTCGCTCGCTGCAGTCTCAGGGTATTCTCTTAGCCTAGATATAGGTACCACTATACCCCACCTTCTGATATTATGGGGTACCATGTACGTGCCGCACTTAATGCAACAATAAGGGTATAGGCAACACCGGCGTGGAAGAATAAGGGGTATATCAATTGCCGGCTAGCGGGGTTGACGTTTTTTCACCTTCAACTCAACGTGTTTAAGCCATGTCTGCTTAGATTTGATATCTGGTGCTATACGTGGGTATTCTATTTACCGTGTTTGGAATTGCTAGTCCGCATCTTTCATTTACTGCTTGTAGGTGTACTATGGGCCAGCATTTCTTTCCCGGCGGATAAACCCTCACCAGGTTCTTTTAGCCCGTAATTTGGGTAATATTCGATTATGGAAGGCTACCCCTCGAAGAGTAATTCACGGATGCTAAACGTGCTTCAGAGGAGGATAATGATCATGCTGAGGCATATGTATAGATTTATTCCTGGTGGACAAATGAAAAATGTTATAGAGAATAAGGCATGTAGAAAACAAGTTTCCCTATGCAAACGACGGATTTAAATTTTCATATGAGTTGTAGATACAGAGATGTAAAAGGCGTGTTATGTATGAACTAAATCGAAGTCGCTGGGTATACTCTGAAAACGGAGATTATATTTTCGGTCAGGTTCATCTTTGGAGATCCTGGATGATCGATCTGGTGTAAAATTCCTATCAGTTGACCGCAGCTGAAGCAATCCATTTGTGATAGAACACCTGCTATGGTTGTAGTTGGACGTGTGCTTTCTACATCCGAGCTCTTGCAAAGCATGTAATTATTGAGAATAGAAAACAAAACAGACGCAAATTTCACACCCCAGGACCATCAAATATGAGTTTGGTATCATCATTAATATTCTTCTACTAAATAGCGTAGACTTTAGCAAAAGCACCATATATTATTGCCTTCCAGCGAAATGCTTCCGTTCATTACCTGTGTCTCTCGACTCCCTTAGCTAGACTTTCGACAATATCAACGTAAACAAAAACAGACATTTGATTCACGTCATAACCACTATCTTCAGGGAGTATTTCTTAGATTATAACACTCATGGCGTTGTACAGTCATTAAGTTGAAATATGTTGACTATCTGAGACGAAATTTATTCACTTATATTTTTACGATGGTGACTTCTGCATAAGACAGTTTGACATACAGTATGAAGCCTATACCATGACAATGATGTCTCAGATATCCTACAATATCTATCTGATCCACCTTGTTCAAAGGTACCAGTGTCCACAATTTGAGTACATCCTTTGCCACTGTAAGAGATCTTGATGGAGCAAGAGTAATTCTTGAGTATTATCGTTGGGTGTTTCTTTCGGGGTTTTGCACCAAATATTGAAACTCTTTGTGTTACAATTATCACCGACAGTGGAACATTCATCGCTTTTATATTACCTTAACTCTTTTTACTAAAATATGTGTCCCAACTCACAAGCTGGTGATTTCAAATGTGTAGGTCATTTATCCACTAAGGGGCTTTGTAGCAACTATAGTGGCTTAGTCACACATTTACATGCTATATTTTTTAAACTAATTGTGCTTTTTAAAAATCCGAGATGCCGTATCTTTCTCTCCTGAAACTAAAAGGTAGATTTAGGAAGCACTTGTCGGTCACTGGCATAGACATTACTGGTTCCTGAAGGGTCGCTGAAGGCATGGTAACCTATGGTAATAATGTTATGAGTATATTGGCCTTATATTCCCAGAAAAGCTTCCCAGTTTCCAGAAGTTGTCACCTAGATCTGTTCTTCTCTTTCATAAACCCCCCCTCATTTATTAAACATAAGCGGCCTGTCGTGTAAAGGTGCCAGCGGTTGAAGGTAAATGTGGAATGTGTCTACGTATAATCTGATGCATTGGTGTCTGCAGCCTTTAATGAATCATACGCAATGTCCTATTGGGAGAACTCTGAAACGGTGAGCTTTATACGGTTTGATAGAAGAGTATTCCCATGTGCGCCATAATGGCCACCGGTTTAAAGTACTCCAGGAATGAATGTTCTACTTTTCTCAGTTCATTTATAAGATACAGATTCAAATCGATCAAATACCCGCACTTAAGCATAAGAGGGCATCCCACAAGACTCGGATGTACAGAATAATTTTAATCCAGAAGCACACTGAGAAACAAAAATGAGCATATTGATTGAGATCATGATATTTGTGAACAAATATCACCACTCCTTCTAGTCAGAACCGTATGAAACCGCCAAAACACTGCATAAGTATGCTTCAACAGCAGTGATTTAAAAATAGCGCCTCGGTTCCACGCAGGTTTACCTCAAAGCTTGGGCACACGTTATAGCTTTGCAAGTAATTCGTGCAGAGACTTCTAACCTGGTGATTCATAAACTCACCGTATTTCAGAATTGATGAAAACCCCCGGAGTATGTGTCAATAATTAGTCGCTCTACTGTAAACCTAAATCTTATTAATCATTTGTCAGGCGCCCCGAGACCCGGGCCGAATACCTGTCTGTGCTACGTGCATACACTCCCATTTATCTCCGAGCTGCGCACTCCCTCCCTTTACCTTTTCTGGCAAACACCAATGAATGCAATTAATGCACTGGTAGTGAATAATATTTTGTTAAAGTGAGTATATTAGTAAACTATGTAACTAGATTATATTTTCACGGCCCCTTTACGGCCCGATCCTCCTTCCTGTGTCTTCCCCGCCGGGTGGAAAAAGAAACGACTGGGGATAAGCAGTTATCCGAATATTGGCCGTGCGTTTGCCTTCAGAAGTTCATCCGACCCCTAAGCGTTTTTTTCCGACTATATAGGCATGGGTTATATAGCGGTCTATATCTAACCGCCGCTCCCCAAAATGCTTAAAAGGCATCCAGTGAAATCACTCCCCTCTTTTATCCGCACAATAAGATCCATGACAAACCAAACCGAAGAACCAAAGAGATTTGGTCTTGAAAGCCAAGTCGCCAGAAATCCTCACCCAGATTTCAAGAAGGTCGAGGCCTCGCGTCCGCCATTTGAGTCCGACATTGTGTGGCACTACAACCAGACCGTGGACCCAAACTGGGTGCCAGGCTCTGGCGCTAACAACAAGGATTGGGCCCAGCACAAGAAGATCGAATTGGACCCATTTGGCGAGACCAGAAAGCCGGTAGACAACTACAAGATGTTGATCTCTGCCATCACGCCGCGGCCAATCGGCTTCGTCTCCACCGTCGGTGTGAACGGCACCCGCAACCTCGCGCCATTCTCGTACTTCACCTTAGTCAACCATGACCCTCCTATCTTTGTTGTTGGTTTCTCCGGTGGCAAGGGTAACCCTAAGGACACCTGCAAAAACATATTGGAGACCGGTGAATTGACCATCAACATTATCTCTGAATGGTTTGTGGAGGCCGCCAACTTTTGCTGTACCAACTCGCCATATGGAACGGACGAGTGGATGTTGTCTGGCTTGACTCCCTTGCCGTCCACCAAAGTCAAGCCAGCACATGTAGCTGAGTCGGCCTTCTCTGTTGAGGGCAGGTTGATCCACTCGCATGAATGGACCTCCAAGGCCGACCCATCCAGACCTACCGGTACCCTCTGCATCATTGAGGGTGTCAACTTTCACGTGAGAGAGGATGTTATTAATGATGACTTGAACATTGTTGACATTGCCAAGTTGAAGCCAGTCTCCAGATTGGGCGGGATCACCTATGCTAGAACTGTCGACGGATACGAGATGCCAAGACCGGACTACGATAAGGACGTTGAGGAGAAGCCAGAGGTCAAGAACTTGCTCTAAGATAGGAATGATCATATATAGCTTCGCAATTGCTTCAATAAAACGGATGAGTTAATTACACGTATATTGACAGGTATTACCATATCGTTTGTAACCTTTGAACTTGAATAGTGAGTTATGGTTGATTGGGTTAGTTTTGACTGCCAGGCTTAGTCTGGAGATTTAAAAGTATGCCAGATGTTGCTGAACAAAGTGGCATATTGGCTGAAATTATTAGATATACTTTCCTTCACCGTGTGAGTAGAGGTCAAAGGGATTCATCAAACACCAATTATAGATCGATGAACCCATGATTTTCTGACCATGACAATAGGTACTCAACTATATTGGAAATAAATCATTGAATTCCGGGGATACGTTGAAGTAAAGCTCGCTGTATGATCTCATTTACCATGTAGCCTAATGCAGAGGACTCTATTATTCTTAGATCTAGATCTTGTATCCACCCAAGGCGCAATCTGTGCTGATGTTGATCACCAACCCATCATTATCTCTCTTCTTGGCCCCGAAACTCAAACTGTACGGCAACCCAAAGTTGTTGTAAATATTACATGCATCCCGTTGAAGCACGTCGAACCCAAAGACACCGCGTAGGTACAAAATCATACGATTGAACTCGAACCGAGATTCGCAAGTGATATTCAACCTTTTCAAAAGATGATTTTCAGAACCTTCGCTCAAATGGATAGCGTGGTTAGCGTAAGCCAACAACTGTAGTCTTGCGGAAACGGCTTCACTGTCAGCAACTATAAAATTGTGAGTTGCTAGCTCCTCCAAGCTGGAGGTCTGGGCCACAGAAACCACAGATCCTTCGATTTCAAGGCCCTTAACTGACACTGGATCTGGGAAGTATGTCTCAGAGTGGTATAGCGACATGTACTCGGCTTGCAAGAGCAATAACCCGCGAAGAGCATCGTCGGCAATGGCCTTGTTGTCCCCGGAGTTTCTCAGGGCCTCGTTAAATACCTCAAGGGACAAGTATCCGTTGTAACCCTTACTGTATATTTTGTGGAGAAGAGTAAGGTTGGGGAAGTCCCCTTGGCAGGGCATGGTGCGGTAGTTTCTGGAGTATCTGAGGTATTCTGGGATAGCTAAAATCGGAGCATCACACAACTGGACAAAGAAGATCTTCTCGTTCATCTCGTCGCAACACTCAATATCACACTTACGCGAAAATATGTGGAAGGAATCAAGACAGATCCCGAAGTTCGGACGGTCAACCGCCTTGATGATATCCCAGAGATGCTGCAAGGTGAATATATGGGTTCCCCAGCACAAGGCTTCGTAGGCGATTCTCTTACCACGCTTGGCAGCCATATCGGCAGCAAGACGGAGTTGCAGGACATAGGTATTAAAATCATACACCGCATCGGCTTGACCGTTGGTGCATAAAAGAACAAGGTCAGTGTGGAGCTCATCCATAATGTCCAAGGTAGCACTGAAATCGGTGATCTTGGCCTGGAAACGTTCTTCTGTTGGCTGCCCTTCGAAGTCTCTAAAGGGCTGCCAGATGGTAATCTCCAAGTTAAGTGTTTGGCATTTCCGGTAGATTTCTGCCGGGGTCGCTTGCTCGAGGTCAGGAACCATGATTTCCACACCCTGGAAACCTGCCGAGGCAATAAAGTCAAGCTTCTCGAAGATGGTTCCCACAGGGGCAAGGCAAATGGTAGCGATCGACATTTTATAAGGCACCAATGATTGCAATGTAGCTGTTTCATGGTGTTGGATCAAGGGAATTAAAGTTTGTGCCGCTGATTGTGATTTGGAACCAACCTGGAACGTGGCAACGTCTCTATATGCAAGGGACTGTATGTTTGTGGAAATCATCGGGGGATGTAAGAGTTGCGCAAGTGGGAACCTGAAACAAAGCTTCTTGTGAAATAGATAAAATATTATACAGATCACAAGTAGGTGGTGCTTAGAAAATAGGTAGGGATGTGTACGGATATATAGATTTCTAAAAGGCTAGTGGATAAACTCCTCCCCGCATGGATAAACGTATAACCGGGTTACCCAAATTCTGCATGCGGCTCTAAAACAGCAATTATTCATATGGGAAGACTGTCATAACCGATACCAACCGTTTATAAGCGCACGAATCGTGATTAAGGATAAGTTATTAGCCGCTCACATTTATCCTGACATCACCTATTCTTCCGAAATCCTTTCTGGTAGTCTCTTTCATTTAATCGTAAAGAGCTTATATGAAAAATGCTTCTCAGAGTCTGAGACTTGCGAAACAACACATTATGAGCATACAAACACCGGAATCAATAAAAAAAAATAAAAATAAAAAAATAAAAAGATATCTGAGATAAACACCTACATTTATACTCGGGTAGGCTTATCTGACCTATGCATAGTGTATGCTTAAACCCTGAAAGAAGGTCAAAGATTAATTAAAACGTGGCCTTAGATCGAACGGAACTCTGAAAAATCCTATACACCTCTTTGCACAAGGTAATTAGTTCTTCCACTCGTACACTGGTCCCAGTGTAGAGAATATACCTGCTTTTAATAATACACCATCTGAAATATACCATTAAATTTTAATAACTCTAGGTTGTCAATATATATGCATTGCATCATTCATTGACTGCTAATTTCATTCCGTTGGCCTAGAATAGTCGAGCGCACGGACACGTTTCCACACCTCCCTCACAACTCTTTCCTGGGCATCACGACTGGATTCGCTCTCAGTGGCAACAGCTGGTCGGATCGCTAAGTATAACCGCGACCCCAACCCTACGTCAGGAACTGGGCTTTCTGTGCTGTCTGGGGGGTTCGCAGTGGTGACCAACCCACCCGCCTCTTGCACTATGATAACTCCCGCACATACATCCCACTCCCAGCAGCCACCTTCCCACCATATATCAAAGGCACCGGTCGCCACGTAGCATAAATCAAGAGCAGCGCTACCTAGGGATCTGATACCGTGCACCATACCCCCCATTCCATTTCTGCCACCAATCTCCGTCGCCATGTTTACAAAACTATCCACCTTACGTGAGAGGTTGCTATTGGGTTCGTCTCTGCGATCTTTGCCCCACTCACATGCAAATACACAGCCCCGTGGAGCGTCTGCGGCAAGGGGGTGGTTCTGGTACGGTAAACGGGTAGTCCGGTTGACCCAAGCACCGCCGCCCTGGTAGGCAGAAAAGGTTTGGTTGAGGTACGGAGCATGAATTGCGCCCACGACAGACTTTCCTTGGTAGGTGAACCCAATTGACACGCAAATCATCGGGAAAAGATGGACATAGTTTACAGTGCCGTCGATGGGATCAACGCACCAGGTAGGTTCGTCGCCAATGGCATATACGCGCAGGGACCCAGCAGAGTACGTTTCTTCCCCGAGAAAGCTAGAGCGTTAGTACGTAATCTCGGGTAGATTATTTTGTGTGGTAAAGAGTTGGCTTAGTCCATGAGGTGCCAAGGTTTTTGAAGACAAACTGTAAAATTAGTTTCCTGGAAACGGGCGAAACAAAAGGACAATTGGCTGTATCGATGAAGGGGTCAGATATTGATTCCCTCTGAGAGCTCTCCTTTTGGGATCAAAAACAAGAATCGCTTATGGAAACTCGGATATCGCGACTTGCGTATTACTATCAGTATACTTTCGCGGCGAACTCTGTTGGGTTATGTTTGACTTAGCTGAAGCTGCCATTTAAAACGGTGACCCTTTGTTCTCTAAATTCGTCCGCCTCCATGAGTAATATATACATGAAGTATAACCAGCTTGTTTCGCCTAGTACGGCATTGCTGTCACAATCTTCAAGGTCCCTCTGGGTCTTATTTCCACAGGTTATTCGCGTAACAGGCTATACGTACTTGTGTTCGGGATATCTCAGTGCAATTTCTTTCTTGATGATCGCTTCTACCTCTATAAGTGTTAGTACGGTTTTTGGGTAACTCAACAGGATAATGGAACGAACTTTCATCCACCTCAGTGACGAGATCAACGGAGTTGGCCTTGTTTTTGACCAGACTTGATCGTGTGAGAAGTACTTTACCAGCTGCTTCTGCCACACCGACTGCAAAGTCATGTATTTCTTTCAAGTCTAACTCCATGGTTTCTAAGCTCACTCTGCTAAAGGAGGTTATAAGAAGGGGCAAGCTTTGAGGTATTTTCTTATCGGTGACCGTTCTCAGGCCGGACAGGCAGCAGAAGATGCGTCTTGTGCGTGCGCACACCGTTTATATAGACACTCTTGTCCTCCGGGCAGAGCCGAACTAACACACGGGTCATGGAAAATGTATCTTCAAATTTTCAACCTCAGATTTACACACTCATATATATCATAAATATAAAAAGGTGTGGATAACCGTAACATCTACATATACTCTACATATCTGCGCGTTTTTCCATACCCTAAATCTTATACAATTATATTTAATTGTATTAGCAAATCCCAGCCCACGTTATATATATATCTTAATGATATAAGAACAGTTCAAAAAATAAAATGAATTACAACTTGGATGAAATACTTAGAACTCGCAAGACCCTCATCTACAACCTTATACACCACCATACTTACTTTGTATCGTAGCACTCCGGGCTTTCCTGACCGAGTTGCCTATTAAAATAAATTAAAAGGCGGCGCACGCCGGCAGAAACCCATTGCATTACCAATATATAACAATACACCTATCTATGACCCGGTACTTCATATACAATATATCTATAATGCTAGAGACAAAGCGGGGTGCGGATATAAATACTACCGGAATGGAGTCACTCTCAATTTTTCGGTATGAAGGTTCCTCAAAGCCCCACATACTATACAAGTATAGTAAGCACTAGCTCCCGGGTTAAGGATATCGTAACTTCCTCGTCAAGCGGGAAAATACAACTTACGTATTACGTTACGTAAGCTAAATGATGCTGACTGTTCACCACGGTCTCGCATAATGTATTACCCGGTAAATACTGTCCACCAACTCGGTATCTTAGGCCACATGGCTTGAGGGCCTCACCCCCGGGGAAGGAAGCCGATACGGTGTAATCTGTTACCAATAGCATACTACTCGATTCTAGAAATAGGAAGCCCCCCTCTGTAAGTTGGGGGTCGATGTTCCACCGGTTCTGTTTGTCCTTTTAGAGGCTATTAATCACCCTAGATCCCGGTGTTAGCTCTCCGGATGCATCCTGATTAGTCGGCATCTGAGAATAAAAAACGCTTTAGGATTGATTTCCGTTACGAATATCCGTGGCGAGCCTAGATGAAGAGAGGGGGCCTCCCCGCTGGGTGTATGTTTAGCCGTCAGAAACCATTGACGAGCGTGACGCTCGCAGGCCCGTCTTCGCTTGACCGCCCAGATTTATACGGCCACCCGGGAAAAATGCGCTGGGAAAAATTCATAGGACGGATATAATCTGCAGGAAAAGGGTAAACGTTTAGCCGACAGTAACATAGAGTTTCGCACAAACGCTTATCCCACTGGATAAACAGTTTCGTATAAAGGAGTACCGCCCTGTTCCCCAGGAAATAATGTTTCTCTCTCCACCCTAAGTTACAGGTTAACACCAACGTTATACACACACATCATGACTACTTCACAAGATTCTAAAATTGTCAAGACCTCTTTGCCATTGACCTTCACCGTTGTTGGTGCCGGTTTGGGTGGTGTTGCTGCGGCTATCGGTTTGACTTTGGCCGGTCACAAGGTCACTGTTTTGGAGCAGGCTATAGAGCTCGGTGAAGTAGGTGCTGGTATCCAGATTCCACCTAATTCTTCCATCATCTTGGACCAGTTTGGGGTCAAGGAAGCCATCGCAAAGGTTTCCACCCTCCCAGAAAAACTCAGATTCTTCAATTGGAAGGGCACCAAGACTTTGTCTACCCAAGACTTGTACCCATACACCGTCGAGAAATACGGTGGTGAGTACTTCCATATCCACCGTGCCGATTTCCACAGAATCTTGGTTACCAGAGCCAGAGAATTAGGCGTGGAGATCATCCTTGGCTGCCACATCGACAAGGTTGACTTTGAAACCAACACCTGCTACACCCCAGACGGCCGCTCCTTCACCTCAGATGTGGTTATTGCTGCAGACGGTCTTAAGTCCAAGATTCGCTCCCTCATATTGAACAAAGATGACCCAGCTCACGACACCGGTGACTTGGCCTACCGTGCTTTGATCAAAGTGTCTGAAATGAGAAAGTACAAGGAGCTCAAGTTCATCTATGAGAAGCCAAATATTACCTTTTTCTGGGGTCCAGATATCCACATTGTCATCTACTTGTTGCAAGGTGGGGAAACTTGCAATGTTGTTGTCTTGTCCCCAGACACCCTACCAGCCGGAGTAAACGTACAAAACGCTTTAGACACGGAATTGCCAGAGATGTTCAAGGACTGGGATCCAAGATTAAAGTCCTTGTGGGCCTTGGTTCATGAAACCTCCAAGTGGAGATTGCAGAACTCCAGAGAAATGGACACCTGGGTTCACGACACCGCTAATATAGCCTTGATGGGCGATGCCTGCCATGCCACCTTGCCATATCTCGCCCAGGGTGCTGCCCAGGCCGTCGAAGATGCTGCCTGTTTGACTGGATTGTTTGGTCGTATCCAGAAAAAATCCCAGATTCATGCCACTTTGCAGAAATTTGAGGAGCTCCGCAAGGCCAGAACCACCCGGGTTGTCCAGGGCTCCACCAACTGCAGGAACGTCTACCACTGTCACGACGGTCCAGAGCAGGTCAAGAGAGACGCCTTGTGCGCCCTTAACCCACCACAAGAGGGTTGTCCAAACCCCTGGGCCGACCCAGTCTTCCAAAAGTTCTTGTTTGGCTACGATGCCTTTGCCGAGGCCGAAAGTGGCTGGGCCGAACTTACAGCTGTTTCCCCCAGTTTATAAGCGAAGCTCCTGTCTCTGCTCATATTTAGCTTATTTATAACACCAATATAATCTAATGTAGTATGGGAATAAGAAATATAACCATTCTAATAGATGGCCAATCAGAACCACAAAGAGCTTTAGAGAGGGATATCCTTTAGCAACAGTGACCTTAGCAATATCAAAAAGGCTGACCGATAAGCATTGGGATAAAACCGATCCAAAGTGTGAGCTCGATCAGAATGAATAACCGCAATGGTTTTATGTATAAATTTCTGTCATAACATAGCGCAGAGATCTAAAGCCGGTAACTTGGTTAAATTTAGCCCTCGTTTGTCAATGTTGGCGGAGACCAAGAACCCTGCATTCATACAACCTTTAACTCGCTACAACTGTAAATATAGTCCAGGCTTATGGGACTAAAAACACCCAGAAATAGACGCATTATACTCTTAATACTAATGAAGTGAATCCAGATATTCAGGTGATAGTCTCCAAACTGCGGAAAACATCGGATATACGTCTTCGGCTCGAATCCGATCAGATGCCCCGGACGTGCATAATCCTTGTGTGAAAGATCCGACAACAATCCCATGCACAGGATAACAAATTCATGCATCGGAAAGTACCGGCCCGGCCCCGGTTCACATTTCTTTTGCTCTTCCGTAAGTGTGGCATTGCACCATATCTCCGGAAAATCAACTCGCTGATAACTAATGGCAGGTATAAAGCAGCCATTTCCACTTTATTTTCGACAACTAGCCTAGCCGTTTGATCGCTATCCAACATCCATAATGACCCAACAAAAGAAGGAAATATTGCCGACTTTCGACACAAGAAACTCGCACTATAAGCTGCACCAAACCATCAACCCAAACTGGAAGCAGGGCTCCGGTGCCAACAAGGTGCTTTACCCTGAGGCGCTTTGGGAAAAGGTGCCAAAGAGCGAGGTTACTCCGTCCTCCAGATCTGTTGCGGACAACTACAAGTTATTAATCTCCACAGTCACCCCGCGTCCCATCGCTTTGATCTCGTCCATCAATCCAGTAACCAACACTGAAAACTTGGCGCCGTTCTCCTTTTTTAATGTCGTCAATGTCGACCCCCCTCTCTTCTGTGTAGGTATCAGCGGCGGACCAGGCCGTTTCAAAGATACCCCCGCCAATATTTTGGCCACCGGTGAGTGCACCATTAACATCATGTCCGAATGGTTCGTGGAAGCTGCAAACTATACTTGCATCGACTCTCCCCCTGACGTCAGCGAATGGGAGTTGTCTGGTCTCACGCCGTTGCCATCTACCCTCGTGAAGCCACAACATGTCCAGGAATCTGCCTTCTCGATCGAAGGGAAATTGGTCACCCACCACAAGTGGTACTCTGAGAAGGACGACACCAAGCAGACTGGAACCTTGCTCATCATCCAGGCTGTCAATTTCCATATCAGAGACGACCTTCTTAACGAATCGACTAACGAGGCGGACATGGAGAAGTTGAAACCAGTCGGCAGATTGGGCGGTGTTGTCTACAGCACCATACACTCGGGCTTCGACTTGCCAAAGAAGTTCTATCAAAAGGACTACTTGGACCAACTAGAGAATTAGACTGTGTCCAGTCCATGTATATTAACGTTTATTTTCCGTGACATATTCTCCGCAGATTTCCGTTGACGTGTTTGAGCAGTACATGTGCAGACAGCATACACTATTAGAGAGTGGAAGGGGGGAGGGGGGAGGGGGTCTAAAAACTTTTCCGGTAATGGGTCCTCGGTTGGCTGCGGGAGATTATCCTTGATATAAATGAGACGTCAATTTATTCAACAATAGGAGTTTCCAGGAATAACCATTTGTAGGAATTAGATTAGTTGTGTACTGCCTTTTGGTAGGCCCACGCTTTTCGTTTGATTCCGGTCTCGAGAGTTGGCTAGTGCGTGTACCGAAATTCCGTCCTGAAGATTAGTTCCTGATGAACATACCGACAAGCTTTAAAGATTTCAGGTTCCGGGATCCGAGGCGTCAAAGTCCCGCTGCAAGCTAAACCAGCATATCGACTACTGCTTACAAATGACAGGGGGGCAGGAGTGACTGATAGTTGCAGAATGATGGTGGCATGCATGTACTCCTGTACGTGGGTGGAGTTCGGCAGACGTTTTCTCCGAAATCCGTGCAGAGGATTATGGCCGTGTCCGCCTTCAAGAACCAGATTGGCGGCCTATTATCCAATTAAACACCGACTCTAGACCAAGATTTTTAGAAGAGATGTACGTTCCATACTTTTGTGACTCTTGCGAGATCTCTAACTGAGCCAATTGGACGTGGACGCTCAATTTTTTACATTGTATCCCTGCACCATCGCTTTTCTGCCTCCTGTACTAAAGAGAGCAATCGAGCGAAAGTGAGTGGTACCTGACTATCACTAAACCTTTGGTCTTAGCACTACGTATAGATTACACATACAGTAGTGTCTCTAGAGTGCAAACGTAAGCCTACCAAAAGGTGGTAATTCTGAAATCGGCGTGCTTACTAAATGCGCCCTGGTTTCCAGCTCAATCCTTGCTAACCCCGTATCGTGCATGTAAAATAGTTGGGGCGCTAAAGATCTCTATATAAAGTCCAGGATCCCTGCTTTCTGTATCAAGTTTATCATTATCCATATCAATCAACATTGCTCAATGACCGCTCCAGCTACCACCAAATCCTTCATCTTGCAGAACTCTCCGCTAACCGCCTGCAACTTCGACTTGGGATCCCCAGATGCCACCTTCAAGTTGGAAGCCGCCAAGCCAATCGAGGCGTTGAAAGAGAATCAAGTTCTTGTGAAGATTTTGTACCTCTCTAACGACCCAACTCAAAGACCATGGATTCAAAAGGGTGCTAACCAAGACAGAATGTACGCGGCGTTGGTTTCCGAAGGCGACGTCATGAGATCCTTAGGCTTGGGTAAGGTCATCGAGTCTAAGTCTTCCAAGTACACTGCCGGTGACTATATTACCGGTCTCTTGGCCTGGGAAGAGTATGTCACTGTTGACGAGTCCAGAATCTTTAATAAAATTGCCGACACCTCCATCCCATTGACCATGTACTTGGATGTTATTGGCTTGACCGGTTTGACTGCCTACGTGGGTTTGATCGATGTTGGTAAGGTTACTAAGGACGACACTGTTGTTATTTCTGCCGCCAGTGGTGCCACCGGCTCCATGTGTGTGCAGATTGCCAAACACATTATTGGTTGTAAGAGAGTGATTGGTATTTCCGGTGGGGCTGAGAAGTGCAAATATGTTGAATCCATCGGTGCTGATGCCGCTGTCGATTACAAGGACCCGAATTTCAAGCAGAACTTACAGAAGGCTATCGGTGGGGTCAACACCGTTGATGTCTACTTCGACTCCGTCGGTGGTAAGATCTTGGATCTCATGTTGCAAATCGTCAAACCATTCGGTAGGATTGTTGCCTGCGGCGCGATTGCTGGTTACAATGATCTGGAACTGCTGAAGATTTCTAACTGGGGCCAGATTATCACAAACAGATTGACCGTCACCGGGTTCATCTGCAGTGACCTTACTGACCAGTTCCCAAAGGCCATCGCCGACATCAGCGTTGCTCTTAAAGCGGGTAAGGTCAAGTGCGATGCCTCTTCTTTCACCTTGGTTGATTTGACCGACGACAAGTTCTCCAAGATCCCAGAGACCTGGAGTTTGTTGTTCAGCGACAAGAAGGGCCCAGGCAAATTGATAACTAAGATTGCCAACGACGACGCTTAACCGTTACATTGTTGTATTAGTCCATTACCTATGAGTTAATTTACCGTATAAGATATGATCATGTATTACTCTCGTCTAGGATAAGTCAAATCCTGCCTCTGCGTTGATGGCGTATAACAACTTTTCTTTCAACACCTTTTTGTCCCGGTAATCCGGAAGTTTCAACAAATTCACGCAGGTGGAAGCCGTGGGCAATCTCTCGCGGTCTTGAAAGCCGGCATTTCGAATCCCAAACCTAGGCGTAAGACTTGCAAACCCAAGCAACGGGGCGCGAGGTACGGAGGTTACAAACTTGATGAGTTTGAAGCGCTCCACTGGGGTCATTTCATGCTCAAAGATCTCCCAGAAATCGCGTATGGTCAGGTCAATATCGAGGTCGTACCCCCCATATTGCACATTCTGCTTCAAGTCATCCACGTTTATATCTTTTTCGCCACCAGACAACAACATTTGTAACTCAAAGGGGTTGAACATGTTGAGCCATTGCTGGGGGATCATTTCGTAAAGCCCCTCCACAAATGATACGGTTTGGAAGCTGAGAGACCGGTTTAACTTGAAATCAGCCACGGCCTGTAGGTATTGTAAACGGTTATGCTCGTCCACCCGGATACTCGATCCCTGCGCTATCAAGTCGAATGTCTTTACCTCTCCGTTTACAACCTCATTAATGGTAAAATTCAAATCCAATGAGGCCAAATCTTCTCCTGTGAGTTGCAAAAGCTTGACCAAGTTGTGATGAAGCTCAGAGTCCAAGTCGCGGAGGTCATTGAACGTGCTACGGCTCTGAGCGACATTACGGGTGGAGGAATTCTGCCATTTGGACATAAAAAACGGGGAGAAGGTCATATCAATCAAGACGGTTTCGTACAAACACTTCCCTATCACGTTTCCCAAGAACTTGAACACCTCTATCCTATGCAATTGTTCGGGTTTTTCCACGCCCGACCGTAATTTGTAGTAGATGTCTGGGTTGGGGTATAATTGGCCTCGGGAGGGTGTTTCCTGGAAATAGCCACTTTCAGATGATGATAACTCCCTGACAATACTGGTCAAAAATTCCTTGGTGATTCCACCACCATCGATCCCTGCTTCAGGCTTATCCCCATCGTATTCGTTGTAGAAGGTGATGCTCAACTGCTCCTTGAACCCATCTCCCAACTTGCCAAACTCAGCGTAGGCATCTTCAATGATGTGCTGCCGTCTGATATTCCCCGCTTGCCGCTTCCCGTAGGCGTCAGAGTTGAAGAAGTCGTTGAACCGATGGCCGCGCTGGTGCACACGTGAAAAATCGAGCGAGACCAAGCTTTGGAAGATTTCTACGCGGGTTTTGAAAGGAATCAAGAAGGGCAACTGTTGGAGGAGCGTATAGTTGAACGCATGTTCATTCAGCGGGGTGCCGCGGACCTCTCTCTTGGTTCTACCAGCAACCACCGTGCCGACTTCCACGTTCATGTCATCGTCTGAGCTATCGTATGAAAGCTCCTTCAACCGCTTGCTCTCTTGCTCGATGAGGAACGGGAGTAGGCGATGGACGCTGATGGTGGAGAGGTTCAACTCCCAAATGCCAGAAGCTGATGTCTTGCCGTTTTTCAAATAGTTCATGTGTAGTTTGCGGAACAAGCTCACCGAAGAGCTCACTAAGGAGTGGTAGAGACGGGCACTACCGGTAGTTCTGGTACATTCCACTAGCCCTTTCTCATTAAACAATAGCGTCAAGCAGAGTTTCTTCAAGAAAACAGGAAAGATGGTATCCTTCTGGATAAACATCGTGGCATACTCTTGGTTGTGGGTTCGAGACTCATTCATTGTGAGAATCACGAGAAAGTACTGAAAGTACTCCTGGAACAAGTGGACCTTATGCCAGTATGTGCAGTTTTCCGTGAAAAACAGCCTCGCTGACAACGGGTCAAGTCTGATGAAGTTGTTGTCAGATTCCACAACAACGTCATACATCCCTCTAGCGTCGGAAATAACCGACTTGCAGAGGATTTCAAAGTAGTTAACCTCAAAGTCAATCGTCATGTGAATGAAAAGCGTCTGGGCCATGCCTGGCACCATATTCACAAGGTATGCAAGCAAAAGTGCAGTCAGCTCACGGGCCTCATCGGTGCTGTTGTGCTTCAAGAAGGAAGACAATCGTTGAATGAAACTGAAGGAGTACAACCTCTCTACCATTTGAATGGTGTAAGGTTCGCTGACCTCGAGATCCCCGCTAGCGGGGTTTCCATCTCCTAGCCCATCATCAAGCAGATTCCTAAGCACCACCAGGCACCCAAGAGAACATGACACTTTAATGAAGGAGGTAATTATTTGGTACTGTCCTGGAAACTCTGATGCTTTGCTGAAGAAGGGTGTGTTTCTGTTTACCAAATCAATATAGTTCACGAGAAAGTGGAACTTGGGTTCATTTTGCTCAATGGTCCAGTCAGTTTCTGAAACACCAATGTTAAGGAGATTCAAATCGATATTAAGCGTGGCTTGCCTTACGATCTGCGGTTTTGACAAGAAGCGGATAAATTGGGCCCGCTGCTCGGGGTCTCCTGATTGGCCCACCTTCACAATCAACAGAAACGCAAGTTCAGCCTCAGACACCTCCGAGAGGATTGGAATAAGCTGCTTGTAGTCTAGTGAGCAACCCCACTTTCCCTGTATTGTCTCCAAGATGTGTAGGAGTGGCGTGTTAACGGGAAAGCGACTTAAGCAGTCGAGCACACCCTCTAACAAATTTTGAACGGATTGGGTGGTAAATAAAGTAATGTCAGATTCTTCCAACACTCTGCAGATCTGTTCTAGTTCCTGGGTCTTGTAGAGATTATGGGTGGCGGCGTATCTGATGGTGAAAGAAACGGAGCGGAGGTATTGTTGAGTATCCGACACCTCTAGCTGGCTCCATTTCTGGTAAATATGCCTCTTAGCTTCATTCAAATCTTGATGGCCGCGAATCCGGCTCTGGATGATAACAGCGGCATTTTCCTCTAGTCTCTGACACTCACGCTTCTCGCGTTCAAGGCGGGTTTGCTCGAGAAGCTGTGACTTGTTGATCTGGCGCCTGTTACCACCCAAGTTGACGATTCTCTTCTTGGCTGTCAGGCCATTGAAATTAAACATGGATAGAATAGTTTTGGTCGGACGATTTAGCTGAAAGCTTGTGATAGTTGAAGCAGGTTCAGTTTTGGTGCGGTATGGCGGCCAAGTATTTTACCTATCCGATAACCACATTGTGTTAAATGCAGGATGATATTCAGGAAGGACCGGAGCCGGGGTAGCTGTCAAGGGAAATAAAAACGGATCGGTATATGACTTTATTCGAAAAAATATATATATTTAAATTATTTAAGTCAGACAAGAGGTGTGTGTATAAACTGATAACGATAATAAAAGTTCTTGGGTCGAAAAGTTAGCCGTAATTTTCATGTCTTTGATGGATATCTTGGTATATCTTGTATTATACTGATCTACTAGTATCTTTGCACCTTCTATGACAAATCAAAGTTAAAGGTTTCGTTGATGTGTATCCATATCTGGAGCGTAATGGGGCGAGTTACTCTTACCTATTCTGTATAACACAGCATACCATAACTTAATACTAAGCATAATATTGAAACGTGGTCTAAACGTCAGATAGACACGTTATTTGTAGTACCGTACTCTTAGTTTTTCATCCCCCTTCAACCCCTTTGCTTCAATTATACGGGTTTCGCCGGGAAACAAGTCAACCCCGTTGTCAGACAAGAAAATCTCCGTTTCTAAGTCGTCGAGCACAATCTCCACGCCCTTGATAGGCTTATCAGAGGAAAGCTCCACCTTTCCCTGTGAAACAATCATCTTAATGTTCGTTTTGGGAAACTTGAGGAACTTCAATGGCTGGGGCCAATCACTAGATCTGGAAAGCACTACGCTTGGACTTTCCCGGGAAACCAATATCGAGTTTATCACCACCGGCATGTCTGGCAATCTCAACTTTATGACCAAATCGGTGCACCCGTTTTCGGCCAAGCTAACCGCCCTGTCATCCAACGAGAAAAGCTTCTCTCCGGTAGTAATGTTATAGACGTCCGTTTTCAAGATTCCCTCAACGACTCCCACCGATGCATTTACACCCCAGATATCCAAGTCGTACACCTTTGGAGCGTAATCATGGGGTGGAGCCTCCTCCGAAACACGAGTCACTGTTCCCTCCACTACCTCTGTGCGGTAGCTTCCGAGGGTAAGCCGTGCACTCTCACGCTTCACTGCATAATAGGCTAACTTTGGCCGCTTGTAAAAGTCTACGATGGCCCAGCTGGCCACCGGCCAACAGTCATTGATCTGCCAGACAAGGGTCCCCCCCGTAAACCTCTCACCATCACGCTTCCAGTTGCGTCTCCACGATTTATACACAAAGGAAAGACACTCAGCCTGCATAAGTTGGGTAGCATAGATCCACGATTCGAGGTCAAGGCTGGTAACCTTGATGTTTTCCATCACATACAACGCTAAGCGTCTCTCGAATCCATCCGCCTTATTGTGGTGGCACACTGTCTCACTCTGAGGGTACAACTCGGAGATATCTGTAATACATTCGCGATAAGTCTTTAAAGAGCAGAGGGCTTCCATACCAAACTCTGATACAAAGCGAGCACTAAGGCTTGGGGCATCTTGATACGGCAACTGCGCTCCGTGCCAGATGTCCCAAACATGGGCATCCCCAATGGTGGGATCGGCCGAATGTGAGCCTCCAAATGGACTACCAGGGTGGTACGGGACATCTGGTAAGTACTGGGCCATTAACTTTGGAAGAATGACTTCGTAGATGGTTCGGGCGGGAAAAGTTGTGTTAGAGTAGTCGCCACTATTATCACTAGGATCCCATTCCAACTTGAATTGTTCGGCAACCTGATAATCCTCATTGTTACCGGCAAAAATGGCCAACGAGCAGTGATTTCGCAACCGTTTCAACTGCGATTCCACCTCGAGGGAGACCAGAGCGATGAATTCCAGGTCACCTGGGTATTGCCCACAGGCAAACATAAAGTCCTGCCAAACCAATAACCCGAGACGGTCACATTCTTCGTAAAACCAATCAGTTTCGTAGTAACCTCCCGCCCACACACGGATCATATTTTGGTTACCATTGATCATGATCTCTAGCCAGTCGGTGTAGTCCCGGTTGGTGAGCTTTGTGGAAAAGGAATGGGCTGGAATCCAATTGGAGCCAGCACAGTAAACCGGGATGTTGTTGACTTTCAAATAAAAACTGGAGCCTGGCAGGTCCGCAAAAGTCTCTTGAACAAGTTCAACCTTTCTCAACCCTACGAGCTGCGTGGATGTTTCAATCTCAACTGAGCCGTAGAGCAATGTAACTCTGAAGGCGTATCTGTCTTGATTGCCGTACCCCACCGGGAACCAAAACTTTGGGTTTTTGACTGATAAAGTTGTTACCGTAGAATTAGACGACATTGTAGTAATCAAGTCACCAATTACACCAGTGGAGTTATCATAACTCAAAACGTCAATCTTGACAGACCCCCCTGCATTACCAAGAAGTTCCACCTCTACTTCCACTTCAACCTTAGAGGCTGTCAAGTCGTCGACCAACGGCTTCACGAAAATGTTCCCCAACCTCAGGTCATAACTATGAAACAAGATAGGTCTGCAGGGGCCGCATGTATTTAATACTGGGCCCCAGTCCCACCCGTAGTGGTACTGCGCTTTTCTTACGTACACTCTGTTGGTTTCCCCGTTAAACGCTTTGGCAATACCTCTCTTCTTCTCGATGCTGCGGGAAACCAGTAAGGCACTCTGGAAGTGGATAAGCATCTCGTTCTCGCCCCCAAACTTAATCTGGCCAGGTTTGACGGTAACTGCATATTCTCGAAACATATTATCGGCCTCTAAAATGAGTTCCCCGTTGAGGTAAACCAGGGCAAAGGTATCAAGGCTCTTAAACACGAACTGGTGGTGGGCAAAACTTTGAGCATCTGCAGTCACCGCAAAGAGAGAACGGTATTCCCAGTCTTTTTCGGCTACCCATTGGACTTCTTTCTCGTTCATATCGATAAACGGATCGGGAATCTCTTGTCTGGCGATCAAATCCACATGAATCTCCGTGCATGTTTTGGTTGAATCGCTCGCAGGTGTCCACGATTTTTCGGAGGCTTCACGGTAGTACCAGTTAGCAAGGGTAATTCCAGACATTTTAGGTGCTAGGTAATGATCTTTTTGAAATTTATGAGGGTACGGATATTACATCCTTTTATACCGCAGTAAAGCAGTTCATTTAGAAGCATATTGTGGGGAAACATACAGATACTGGTTTTAGTCCAGTTTCTGTGACCGATAGCGAGTTGTTATAATGCAGGATAAAATCTCGGATCATTGATCCTCCCCCTGGCGGATCAATGATTTTGCCATATGGCCGCTTGCCGTTTTAGGCTTTAAACGCAGTTTACCATTTTCTGGGTACTGGCGAATTCTAAACAAGATTAAAGATACTGATATTTGTGTTTTCATATTTGATAGTGTTGTTAAAGTCTTAGGTACTAACCATGTCTTTAAATAGGAGTCTAAAGAGCCGTGAGCAGAAGAGAGTAGCAAAGATTAAGTAACTAGAACAATGGATATATAACTATTCACATGTGTAAGAGGTTTTAGTATTTTTATAATTTATCGTGTTTTAGAATGGTAAAACTATGACCTCAGATTCATACTTGGGTTGGATTTCAACCATGTTAAAATCGATAGAATTTTCAATCCCCTCAGGTTTGTTCTATTGGTATATACAAAGGAATTGGTGCGTTGATTACGTTGCCAATCCACGAAATAGTCTGTAGTGCAGTGTGAGTAGCTGTGAGACTGACTTTGTGAAAGATTTTTACTTTTGTCTTTAAACGTGAATAACTTCTGGTTCTAGATAATTAGAAAATCAATGTTACATTAGTTTTCCGTTTAGGTTCTAATCGTGGCTAGCTGTGGGAATTAAATGAATAGGCAAAAAGACTTGGCTATCCTACCCACCACAACTGAGCAAATCTCCCCTTTGAGCATAACTAGCTATCTAAATCTCTTGGTATATTCTCAAATATTTCACAAAATATACCTTCAAGCTGTACCGCAGCCACCTACCCGTTCGTATGCTCAGTTCCTAGGTTTGAGTCAAGCAGGTGTATAAGCGCACGTGCGCAAGAAAAACTACACTGCTTATATAATCACTTGTCTACTACGCACGGAAAAACAATACCTTCACCGATTAGGCGAATCTAATCGTCCCCACGTGAGCGCAATGTGAAGGGGTATCATTTTATGCGCTCTACCTTTGACCTAGCTGAGCCCGATCCTAGTCCCTGATTAAGCGTTTAACATCTGAATGTGTTACACGGTTACATAGACATTGAACTTTCCCCAACCCGTTTTCTTCCCAGCTGTCTCCGACGAGACCTTTCTAGCGTTTATCTCCCACAGCAACTCACCAGTGTACATTTTCTGTCGTATCCATCTCACATAATGAAGTTTACTTTCCTTTCGCCGTGCACATTAGCTGCCGCCTACTCTTGCCTCTTTCTCGCGATCCTCGAGCCAGTGCTTTGCCTCAGTCTCCAGAACGTGTTCGGCGGGCAATCCATCAAACTGCTTCTCCGCTTTGACGCAGATATTGCCAAAGAGTCCATTCCACATTACTTGTCACTAGACCCTGTAGATGACGAGCGTTTGCCACCAATAGACTTGTTTCAGTACCCCCCCACCGAGAAGGTCCTTCGACTCGACTACTCGGGGTTGCCCGCCACTGATGAGATGTTATTCAAGAAGCAATGCTACGCCATGATAGCTAAATATTCCTTGGATGTTTGGGCCAAGTCCTCACTGGACAAGTTCTTTGACATCCGTGTTTCCGACGTTGAAGCTTTTGCTGAAATCTTAGAGGAGTATAACCTCCCTGATGTCCCGGTTTCGATCATTATCCCAGACTTGGCCCAGTCGGTCTACGAAACCTTCCCGCAAGCTTCGGTTAACACAACCGAGACTGTTGGTGAAACAGCGGTGCTTATGGATTATCTCTCCAGAACTGGCCCAGAACTCACGACTGACATGGCCAAGGAGGAGTTGAACATTATGACAGACTTGTTCTTCAAGCAGTACCGCAATCTCGACATGGTGTATCTCTGGTTCGAGATGTTAAGGGCCACTTACCCCGACATCTTGAAGCACGAACGCATCGGGAAAACCTATGAAGGCAGAGAGATGTCCGCATTGCACTTGTCTGTCGCTCATAAAGACAACCACAAAGACGACGGCACCAGAGCACCAGATACAGATTTTGATCACGAGGACGATCCCACTGAGAGACGGACGATTGTCATCACCGGAGGCCTCCATGCTCGTGAGTGGATCTCCACCTCCACCGTCTGTTACTCTTTGTTCAGGCTTCTCCGCTCTTATGATCATATAACCGATAGCGTTGACGGTCATAAACACCGGAAGCTCCGTAAGATTCTCACGTCGCTCGACTTTATCTTCATTCCTGTTTTTAACCCTGATGGCTACTACCACACTTGGTCAGTGGATCGTTTGTGGCGCAAGAACAGACAGGAAACCTTCAACCCTCGTTGTTTTGGGCTCGACATAGACCACTCGTTCGACTTTCGCTGGCAGCACTCCGACGCGTTCAACCCTTGCGGTGAGAACTACTCAGGCGAAGACTCGTTTGAAGCGATCGAGGCCCAACAGTGGAACAACTTCCTTACGAACCACACTAACCAGATCTTGGGGTATTTAGATTTGCACTCGTATTCGCAGCAGATCTTATACCCATACGCCTGGTCCTGTGAACAACAACCCCGTGATTCTGAAAACTTGATTGAGTTGGCGTACGGCATGTCTAAAGCAATTAGATTATCCTCAGGCAGATACTACAACGTTTTGCCCGCGTGCGTGGACCGCGACGTGGATATCGAACCAAGTTTGGGATCCGGGACTAGCTTGGACTACATGTACCATAACAAGGCATACTGGGCGTTCCAGATTAAGTTGAGAGATTCGGGTGACCATGGTTTCTTGCTACCACCAAAACACATTATTCCAGTGGGTAAGGAGATATACCAGGCGATCAAATACTTCTGCTTCTTTATTTTGGAGAGTAAAGAGTATTGAAAGAGTTGACATAGTTTGAGCTATTGAATTTCTGCATTGTTGGGCAGGGCAGATTAAATATGTCCAACCATGCGAGGCTCAAATTAACAGAAGAACCAGGGGAGTATTATGTGTGAGTTAGCCGCAGGTAGGTGGGTTTTACCGATAAGCTCAAGTTTATAAAAGGAATTGATTTTCTTGGAGTTGGAACATGGTGGATACACAAGCGTGTCTGGCCGTACATTAAAATACGATAAAGGGATGAACGCTCTAAAATAGAGAATTGTCTCCAACCTATTGGAGCCTCTGATATTTATTCCTTGTCCTGGCGATAAAATCCGTCTTAATATATATAAACCCTCAAAAATATGGTGCGTTTTGTGCTTACAGAGCCGAAGATGGCTTGGAAACAGATTTGTAGTACATATCCTCTTATTTCACCTGGTCCTAGCATCCGAAGTTCTTGGTTATTATCAACATCTGAGGTTCTTGGTTAGTGTCTTATCCATCCCGAGAAAGTATAAATCTCAATGCGCAAGTATGAAATCTTAATATCTATTTTTTTTCCACTTCTGGCTAGGATTTACAAATATCAGACAATCCTCCTTGAGTAACCAGACCTGTAAAAATCCAGTACCATGAACGAAAGTCCTCCAGGTAGCATCAACCTGAACCTGGCCCCATTCTCTGTCGTCTGGACTAGTTTTTCATCATAGTAAACAACCGATTGAACATACTCTTCCAATTGATATAAAACCGTATACTCAGGACGCGAAGTCCACCTCTACCAGTGGTAACATTTCCATCGGCGTCTACACGATCTCCTTCTAATACGCGGACACTCAGTCCAGATCGTCAACTGCCCTAAAACGTATTCAAAAAGATATCTTTGGCGCCGTACCTACATGAGATGTCAGCATTATTACCGAAAAGTAGTACGCGACTAACCTCACCATGGAATTGATTCACAAGGCCGCCCTCTTGTACAATATCAATTAGTGTTCAATATCCCTCCTCTGACTAGCCACGCACTGTGGGGCAAGGCGTGGAGGAAAGAAAAGAAAAGAAAAGAAAAGAATAAATTCCCTTTGGGTTCAGTCGTTAAACAAACGGATGATGATCCAACCAGGGAATACCCGATTAAGGTTATGACTTAGTCACGCTCGTTTATTGGAGGGAACATGCAGCGAAATTATCCCTGGTTGTGTGTAACAGCCGGACCGGGGATCCACAATAAGCCTGCGTTTGGGCTCGCCTGGATTTACCATATGTCGTCATAAGGCCAAAAACAATTATTCGAAGTAGTATTACGAGGGACAAGGTGTATTCGACTATGAATGGATAGACGCCCCCTTTACCGAAAATTATACGCAATATCCCTTCATTCTGAGGGATGGTGAAATAACCGCACCTCGTATCATTGCTATACCGAAATGCGGGGATCGGGGTGGCGAGAAGTTATGCGAATGTACGCATGCATGAATTTTCAGGCTCTAGGACAATTATCAAAGTTTCTAGTCCCAGCACCTATGACTCTTCCCGTTATACCAGAATTTTTAGACTCAAAGGGGGTCTCGTTTTGTGTTCACCATAAAAAAAATTCTAGCTATACTTGTAGCATTCTTTCATCTAGTTTCTATGTATTTTTTTTTCCCACATCACTCACTGTTTGTGCACCTTATCGCATGAGAAATGTCATTTTTGAGCTTCCGCTATAGTTCATCTCCAGAGTTTACTAGATAGCTATCCATCGAGTTCTGTCGCTTTTGTCTGTTCTATCTAACACATACCTACGAATCGTTAGTTCCATTCAAAATATTCCGCCCACTGCTAAGACTATTCCAAAGCTCCACCTTCATCAACAAGGAGTTTCCAGAAACCTGGTAAATTTATAATTAATGTACCCTGAGGAATAAATTCCGCCAAATGAATGAAAAATACTCTCACACCCCTGAAGAAGAACAGAATTCTATAGACTCCTTCAACTCCCATCGAGTTTCGCCCGAGCCTCCACCGGCTCTGTTCTATGAGACACTGGGGAAAATATGCCCAAATAGCCAAGAGGCTCATGGAATAGATGGTACCTCTATTTCTACTAGCATCGACAATACATCAATCCGCTCTCAAAGATCGCACTTCTCACATGTGATATCTCGCATTAACTCCAGTGCCAGCCAGAACCCTTTGGCGCAGAAACTATCATTGATGATCGATGCAGTAAGAGATGATAACCTTATTACTGAAAAGCAACGCGCTTCGGACCCTACCATGGACTTGATGCCTGAAACTGGCTTATCTCTTGTACAGTCTCAACTCTCCCATCAGGCCTCTCGTATATCTGGCCAACCGTGTATGTCTGCTTTTGAGGCGGAACATGCTGATACAAACCAGCCAGATGACGACCCATCGAGGGGGATTCCGGATGGGGGATATTCTTGGGTGATTGCAGCATGCTGTTGCCTTCTCTCTGTGGCTACTTGGGGATCCAACGCTTCTTATGGCGTTTTCCTCAACTATTACCTCTCTCTGAACTACTTCCCCGGGGCCACAAGTTTCCACTATGCCATGATTGGTGGATTGGTGATCGGTACGTCTCTTGCATTATCCCCTTTCGTCTTTATTTTTGTAAGCTACTTGGGCCTCAAGCCCACCATGCTTCTCGGAATCGTCATCCAGACGGCAGGCTACATGCTTGCGAGCGTTGCAACAAATATTTGGCAGCTCTTTCTCACTCAGGGGTTGATGATTGGTATTTCGTTTGCCTTGATTGCAACATCCAGTATAGCCATCTTACCCAACTGGTTTTACTACAAGAGAGCCCTTGCCGCAGGCCTTACGGTGAGTGGCGCTGGGATTGGGGGCATTATATTCTCTCTTTCCTGTCAGCGTTTAATGGAAATAACTGGTAACCACAGGTGGCCACTTCGGATGGTGGGAGTTGTTACGTTTTTCTGCTGTGTTGTGGCAGTTTGTTTGATAAAACAGTATCCCAAGGACTACCCACAGCACAAGATTCCGTTTCAGAAACCCCCATTGAGACAGGCTATCCGCGTGGTATTCAACCCCAAAATCGTCACTTTCCTTCCGATCAACATTGTGGGGTTCTGGTTCAGCTTGTGCAATATTGGATACATCACACTTCTATATTCTATGTCCTCCTACGCCTCTTCTATTGGTTTAACCCGGAAGCAGGGTTCTAACGTGACTGCCGTGATGAACCTAGGGCAGGTCTTCGGCCGTCCGGGAATTGGTTATTTGTCCGACAAGCTGGGGCGCATTAACTTTTCAGTCTTTCTTCCCATTTTATTCGCGATTCTCATCTTTGCCTTCTGGATCAACGCGACAAGCTATGGTAGTTTGATTGCATGGGCCTTTGTATGTGGGTTGACGGTAGGCTGTGCATCAGTGAACAACCAGCCTATGGCTGTAGATATCGCGGGCATAGAGATGTTTCCAGCTGCATTCAGTTATATGAGTGTAATTGTGGCTTTTCCACTGACATTTGCCGAGGTTATCGCATTGGAGTTGAAGGACAAAACTAGCAGCCTTGGGAGGCCGTTTCTTCACACCCAGATCTTGTGTGGAATTATGTTTTTGGTAGCCGGCTTGTCAATGTTTATTCTTCGTGAGTGGAAGATCCGTAAGGTACTTCGTCAACGGCAGCTGGCAATTTCAGAGATTGTGAATACGCATAAAGGAATTCATGAAAAACTGAAAGATGAGACCATTGCGAAAATCCTTAAACCAGAGGAAGTAGAGGTAAACGACAGAAGGTTGTGGAAGTATAGGTATCTACTACGCGGGGGAGTTGCAGGATACTTCTCTCGAATGATGTATCCTATAAAAGTGTAGATTTACAGTGTCTAATTTATAAGTTGAACGTTTCATAGTACAAATAATAGCTATGCCATTGAACGAACAGGTAAACTAGCCCGCTACTAGTATTAATTGCTTGGAAGAACCAAAATGAGACTAAACGTCCACAAGGGCTCAAAAGTGTAATTAAGCGGGGAACTCGTAGGGACCGTGTAGGGTGCTGCAATGCGCGGCTATTATTACTACATTTAGTAATAAGCGGATAAATGAAGCAGGCTCCATGTAAGCGCGCGGCATAACTGAGCCGCACATTATTTATCAAAGCGTTATATACCGCAATCCAGACAATGAGTCAGAGCCCCAGTTGGAGGAATATACAGGTTACTGAGATCTATCATGTCATAATTAGATGATGCTTTGATCCGCCCCAGGCTTTCCCACCTTGATTGAACGTGTGGATAGACTAAGGACCCAACCGTCTTAGCGTCTACCTCACCAAATATCTATACAAAGGGACCGGGTATCATCGTATTCCATTTCGTGGGGCGACAACAGCAAGTTTTAGCTCTAAGATTAACCTCTTTGCACGTTGAATGAACGTAAGGGACGTCTGTTCATCTGGTCAAATTTTCCGTCTTACGTTCTAGATCTTGAAACCCAGGTGATTGGGGTACATATGCGCCTTTATCCTGCGCGCTGACGTAGTCATATACCGGAATAGGAACCTCCACACCGTACTGTGGATATAGGGGGGACTGGAATAAAATTGAATCTTTGCTTTGTGATTCACCACAATAGTAAATCCCCTTGATGGACTTCTTGCTGGGATAGAATATCACCCGTCGAACCGTTTCGCATTCTGGTGTAAGCCTAAGACCCTTGCTCTGCTCAACAATCTCACTCACAGAAACCACTGGACATCTTCCTCAGAGTACAAGAATTGGATTGAGAACTGGAACAAGAGAGTATAATCCTCCTATGAACAACGAAAAATACAATACCGTGAGTTTTAAGTCCCATAGCACGGACGGCGGCCTGAACTTAGGATCGTTCGCTTCCAACGCTTCAAGTGTGGCCAACGATCCAACTGGTATCTATAACTCGAACCCTCACGAGCTGTATTTCCCGGCTAATGATGAAATCGATTCTATCACTACCATAGGAAGCAGATCGATTGAGTCACTGAGATTGAATGCGCTCAGCCACATCCCAAGCTCTGCCCACTCAAACCCTTTGGTGAGGAGTCTCTCCATGGTAATAGATGCCGTGAAGGACGACAACCTCATTACAGAGAAGGAAAAGCAGGAGGCAGGGTTGCCGAAAACCGAATTCGGTCTCATGCAAGAGCAATTCCTGCGCCGGGCATCTCTCCTGTCCATCTATGAGCCACATGCGGATACCGAAAGAGACCCCAGCAGCGACGAGGACCCCTCATTGGGCATCCCTGACGGAGGCTATGCCTGGGTTATTGCGGTCTGCAGCTGCCTCTTCAACATTTCCACGTGGGGCTCTAATGCTTCTTACGGCGTCTTTCTTAACTACTACCTCTCGTCTAATTATTTTCCTGGAGCAACCAATTTCGATTTCGCGATGGTTGGTGGACTTGTGATCGGACTCGCTTACACTTTCTCACCCTTTGCTTTCATTCTAGTGGCTTATATTGGCTTAAAACCCACTGTAGTTCTTGGAGTGGTGATTCAAACCGCTGGCTACATTCTTGCAAGCTTTGCCACAAAGACTTGGCAGTTGTACCTTACTGAAGGCGTAATGATTGGCATTTCCTTCTCATTGGTATTTACGGCAGGAGTGGCTATCTTATCCAACTGGTTCTACCATCGCCGCGCACTTGCATCGGGTATAATGACTGGTGGCACAGGTTTAGGCGGAATTCTCTTTGCCCTTTCTTCTCAGAAATTGATGGAGGTTACTGGAAACCACAAATGGCCGCTTCGCATGGTTGGAATGATCACCTTTGTTCTTTGCGCCATATCTCTCTGTTTGACAAAACAGTATCCAAAAACCTTCCCAAAGCACAAGCTCCACCCTTCCAGACCACCCTTGGGGCAGGCTATCCGTGTGGTACTCAACCCGAAAATTATCACCTTTTTCCCTATCCATGTTGTGTCGTTTTGGTATGCTTGTGTGAATACAGGGTATGTTATTTTGCTCTTCTCCACTGCGGCCTACGCTTCCTCGCTTGGTTTAACAAGAGAGCAAGGGTCGATTGTCACCGCTGTGATGAACGTGGGCCAGCTTTTTGGTAGGCCTGGAATGGGTTATTTATCCGATAGACTGGGTCGCATAAATTTCAGTATCCTCATGACTCTATCCTTCGGAGTCCTTGTGCTTGTTTTCTGGGTTAATGCTAGGACGTACGGCAGTTTAATCGCATGGTCCCTTGTTTGCGGTATGACGATTGGCATTGCCTCGGTGAACAACCAGCCCTTGGCGTTGGATGTAGCTGGTACTGATTTGTTTCCCACTGCCTACAGTTACATGAATATCCTTGTGGCAATCCCCCTGACTTTTGCTGAAGTGATTGCCTTGAAAATGAAAGATGACAGAGCTCATAGTGCCAGGCCGTTCTTGTCTTGCCAGCTCCTAACCGGCGCTTTGTTCTTTGCTGGTGGGTTTTCATTATTTATTCTTCGTGAAATCAAAATTCGCAAGCTCCTCACCGAGCGTCAGGCGGTGATTACACGGTCTACACCGGTGTATGTGGAAGGAGACAAGGAAATATTGACAAGAGGCGTCGATGAGGTGAGGTTGCGGAAGTATAAATATTTGTTGAGAGGTGGGACAATGGGGTATGTTTCCCGCATGATTTACCCAATAAAGGTGTAAATTTATATATAGATAAAAACAATAAGTCGGTATATAACCATGTTAGGGTTATTATAATTATGTATCCTTATCGTGCCAGAGTTGTGAGAAAAAAATGAAAAAATAACAAAAAATAACAAAAAAAACTGTATTACAATATACAATATCCAAGTATTATGAGATGCAAGATTCTTAGTGAAAATTACATATCTATAAACACCCCTGGTTTTAGTTCAGGCTGTCGACCACAGCAGCTAGCTTATGTCTTTCCTGTGGTATTGCTGTGGGTGTTTCCTCGGGAACATCCAACCTATAGCAATTGAAATCTTTGAAGCAATGTTATTCCCTGTTGCCTTTAGCTACATAAATACGGCAGTAAACATTTCACTGACGTTTTCTGTGGCTATTTCCATTGAAATACTCGTGAGGCTAAGAGACCACTCTATTACCGCCAGATTTGATCTATAGACTGTCAATTGATAGTTGCTCCCATGCTTGTGCTTCGAGGAGAACCAAAAGGTGATAATCGAATAAAAAGATGCGAGAAAGATTTTACGAAAAGTTTGTGGAGGTGATGAAATTAATTTAGATCACAGCTTGATCGCCGAAAAAATGGAGGTAAAAGAAACCATATTGAGAAAACACGGATACTTAAGATAAAAGGGCGACTTTATTATATTTCTGATCGAGATAGATAGCAGAAGATGTGCTGGACTGCTTTGTGTTTCCTCCATCATACTGCATATTCGGTCTACTCCATCTGATCCATGCCTCGAGCTTGATTTAAAAGTGACGGAATTAGTCTTCACAATTTTGGCGAGAAAAATGCACTCAGAATAATACTCCCATACAGACTAGTGGTCGTGTGCAGTTGATTTTCCTAGAAGCTTGTCAGTACTTACAAATTATGAACGGCTTCATGATACCCTTTATAAAGCCGCGGTGGGCCCAGTATACATATGAATCTAGTGGTAACGAATACGCTATAGAACTAATTTGCTTTGTAGAAGATAGCAGATAAAGTGCTTTGTGCTTCTTATATCTCCTGTCTCAGATAAAAAAAACCTACGAAAAATTTAGCGCTTCGGACATGGGGCTGTTTCGGTGATAAGGCTATCTGTAGATCGGCAAACAGTTCCCCACGCGCTGGAGATTTTCCCCCAATCCTAAAGCACGTCAAAAACGATCACACGACTAGATAAATCAACCCCCCCCCCCCGCTAGCATTGGAATACCAGAGAACTGTCTATTTAAAGTGGCTTTAGCTTCCATCCTTTAGTAACATCATGTAGGCCACAACAGAGACCAGCATGTTCAAACTATGGTTGCCATTTATCGCGCACAGCGGTTCAGAGGTACGGCAGTGCATTACTAATTACTACCCCAAAACGGGGGGCATGAAACCTAAGAGCTGCAGATTGGCGCCGTACGGGGGTGGGGGTTTTATGCAGGTATGACAGAAACTACTGAAAACTTTTTTCGTGTGACAGAGGCGCTGTTTTTGTCTCGTAAAGGTAAAACTATCACTTCTCTCTTTACGTCTAATTAACACTCTCCGGGCTCGTAGCAGCTGAATAACGTTACTGGTAGTGATACACAACCTCTGCATTGCTCAAAGCCTTAATCAGTAGAAGGCACTTCATACCGCGCATATCTAGCATATAGTTCATCATGAACCACACTACCGACAAAGACATCGAATCCATACTACTGGAAGCCAGTTCTGCTTCAAACGTTGCATTACCCAACCAAGTACCAACACAGTTCTATGCTGAAGCCGACACACATTCAACGGAGACGGCCCCCCAGCCTCGCCCTAGATCCCAGAGCAACGCATCGAGGTATACCAACACCGATGCCAAATCCATGTATTCCGCCAGATCCGACTTCGGGCACATCATTTCTAGAACCAACACCGCACACTCCAACCCGGTTGCTCGTGCTATCACGCAGCTTGTAGAGGCCGTCAGAGATGATAATATTATCACCGAGAAGCAGCACGCCTCAGAAGAAATGGTAATTCCAGATACAGGGTTGAATATCATAGAGAAACAGGTAACGAGACAGATAACACGCCACACTGACTGTGATGTCGCCACAACCGGTTTTTCCAGTGGAGTTGATCGCCGTAACTCGGATCCTGAGACGAGGATTGAATATCACGGAACGGAAGAAAAAGATAGTCTGAGCGACGAAGCGGTATTTGACCCTACCAACGGTGCACCAGATGGAGGGTACTCGTGGGTGATTGCGGTGTGTTGTTGTTTTCTCAGCTCGGCAACCTGGGGTGCTAACGCTTCGTACGGTGTGTTTTTGAACTATTTCATCTCTTCAAACTATTTCCCGGGTGCTACCGATTTCGACTTTGCCATGATTGGTGGACTCGTCATTGGAATTTCTACCGCCTTTGCGCCCTTTGTGTTCATTCTTGTCTCCTATATCGGTTTGAAGCCAACCATGTTGCTAGGAGTCTCGATCCAGACCTGTGGCTATATTTTGGCCGGTTTCGTGAAAACAAAGGCAGGGTTGTACTGTACCCAGGGTATGATGATTGGCTTGTCGTTTGGGATGATTTTTACGTCCAGTATTGCCATTTTGCCTAACTGGTTCTACTATAAGCGATCCATTGCTGCTGGTATGACCGTCAGTGGCTCGGGGCTTGGCGGCGTCATTTTCTCCTTGTCCGCCAACAGCTTGATGCAAAGGACCGGAAGCCATAGATGGCCCCTCATCATGGTGGGGCTTGTCACCTGTGCTATCTGTGTCACCTGTATTGTGTTGATCCAGGAACATCCAAAAACCTCGCCAAAATACAAGTCCAAGGCCCCTCGCCCTGGCCTTTGGCCTACAATCCAGGTAGTACTTAATCCCCGCATCGTTCTAAACGTCGAGGTTACCTTGGTTGGTCTCTGGTTTATGTGCTGTAACGTCGGTTATATCACGTTACTCTTCTCCATGTCGGCGTACGCCAGCTCCGTGGGCTTGACGCACCAGCAGGGGTCCAACCTCACCGCTATCATGAACGTGGGGCAGTTTGTTGGGCGTCCCACGATGGGACACTTTTCCGACAGATTTGGCAGAATTAACTTCAGTCTCATGATTTCGTTCACCGTTGGTGTACTTATTTTCGCATATTGGGTCAACGCCGATACTTACGGGAGTCTCATTGGCTTTGCTTTGTTGACTGGCTTTACGGTGGGTATTGGTGCGGTGAATAACCAGCCGTTAGCTGTCGATGCTTCGGGCTTAGAGATGTTCCCAGCCGCATTCAGTTACTTGAGTTGGATTATTTCTCCTCTCCTGGCCTTTTCCGAAGTAATCGCTTTGAAGTTGAAAAAACCGCAACTGTCAAGACCGTTCTTGTACTGCCAGATTATGACCGGGTGTTTCATCATGTTGGGGTGTCTCTTACTCATGTTGATGCGCGAATTGAAGATCACCAGAGTGATTGTTCAGCGTAAGGGGGCACTCGAGGAGCATATACGAGTCCACACCTTTGCTGAAGGATCTATTCAAAGTGGCAAAGAGCTTCAGGAGTTGACGCCAGAAGAGATTGAGACGAACGAGAGGAGATTACACAAGTATGAGTTCTTGCTCAGGGGTGGGGTCAAAGGTTACTTGACCCGTATGTTTTACCCAATAAAGGTATAATCATGGCAAAAATATATATTCTGAGCCATTATTAGATTTTAGTTCTCGTGTTTATGTATGTAGAACAGAGGTGTATGGAGTATTCGAAGGTACATGGTTCCATCTTTTTACCCATCTCCGATCTGCTGTTGAATTAGCTCGTGCGGGGTATGATACGCATTATTACATATTTGACCAGTCTACGTTCTGGTGAAGTCTAGCGTTTTAAGTCTTTTGTTTCCTCGCACATCATTTGTCCGTAAATCGGGGTTTCCCCGCCCTTCCGGGTAAGTGTTTCTCCGGGTGTATCACTCGTTTTTGTTTTGCGGGCTTTAAACCAAACCTGCGAGGCGACCGAGGGTCTTTAAGCAACATGATACACTAGAAAGACAGGGTAATTTGTAACCGGAATATAAAGCAGAATATAGATCACCAACTAAATGCTTTCTCTCTCATGTAAAACATTATATACTGGCTATAAGGAAACATATGCCCTTCTACACCTCGAAAACCTCTTTACATCCTATCAATGGAACCCCTGCCATTGCTAAACCATAGAAACCAAACTCATATTGAAGCTAAAATCCTTACAATCGGCATATATTTATTACACCATGTCTACAGATAGGCATACCAATATAGGGGGTGATTCCTCTTTGTTTGGTTGTCATAACTCCGCTGTCCCCAACTTTTCCTCTAACAAGTCAAAGTTGCCCACAGATAGACACTCGTTTTCCAGGATAGTTGGTGTCGCTAGTATCCAGAGTAATGTCACAGGAAATGACTTTGACGCAAAATCCATGTATTCGGCCCGTTCTGTCTCGAGTCGTTCTATCTCGAGGTTTAACTCTGTCAGTTCCAACCACTTTACCCAGAGGATCTCCCTGGTTATTGATGCTGTGAAGGATGAAAATAGTATCACGCATAACCAGGAAACCGGACCGATTATGATTCCGGATTCTAGCATAAATATCATTCAGACACAGCTTTCGAGACAAGCTACTAATGTCTCGGGCGATGAAAGATCCGGGATCCACGTTAAGACACAAGATTGGACCTCTGACCCCGAAAAAATAACTGACAACGATGGAAAAGAAAAGGATAGTCTGAGCGACGAAGCGATGTTTGACCCTACCAACGGTGCTCCAGATGGAGGGTACTCGTGGGTGATTGCGGTGTGTTGTTGTTTCCTCAGTGTTTCTACCTGGGGGGCAAATGCTTGCTACGGTGTATTTTTGAATTACTTCATCTCGTCAGATTATTTTGCAGGGGCGACGGATTTTGACTTTGCTATTATCGGCGGAATTGCGATCGGGATTTCTCAGGTATTTTCGCCGTTTGTGTTTATCTTTGTCTCGTACTTGGGCTTAAAACCTACAATGATTATTGGTTTAATAATCCAAACTCTGGGATACCTCTTAGCCGGCTTTGCTAGGTATAAGTGGCAGCTTTACATGACCCAAGGTCTCATGATTGGGGTTTCGTTTTCATTGGTTTTTACGTCTAGCATTGCCGTTTTGCCTAATTGGTTTTACAAGAAACGTGCCCTTGCTTCGGGTATCACAGTCAGTGGGTCTGGCTTAGGTGGCATCGTTTTCTCTTTATCGTGCAACAGTTTGATGCAAAAAACCGGAAGTCATCGGTGGCCGTATATCATGGTAGCGATCACCACCTGTACGATGTGCAGTATCTGTATCATATTGATTCAAGAGCACCCGAAGACGTCTCCCAAGTACAAATCTATCGCACCTCGCCCAAGTCTCTGGGTAGTCATGAAGGTGGTTCTCAATCCAAGCATCGTGATAAATCCGGAGGTTAACTATGTTGCTATTTGGTTTGCTTGCTGCAATGCCGCGTATATCACCTTACTCTTCTCTATGTCAACCTACGCTTCTTCAGTCGGTTTAACCCATGGACAGGGCTCAGTCATCACGGCGATTTTGAATGCAGGCCAGTTTGTGGGCCGCCCAATGTTGGGACACTTTTCAGATAAGTGTGGTAGGATCAATTTTAGTATTGTTATATCCCTTATTGTGGTAGTATTGCTCTTTGCGTATTGGATCAATGCAACCACATACGGAAGCATCATTGGATTTGCCTTGCTATGTGGTTTGACGTTGGGGATTGGTGCTGTGAACAATCAACCTTTGGTCTTAGAGGCCTCGGGGATGGAGTTATTCCCGGCGGCCTTTAGCTACTTGAACATTGTAGTTTCTGGACCCCTGACATTTGCAGAAGTCATTGCCTTGAAATTGAGGAAACCAGATGCCCTGAGACCGTTCTTATATTG